TCGGGCTACAGATTGCTCGTGCTGAGATTGTAAGCGGCAGAATGTAGCTTTAAGTAGGACCACGATTTGCCGGGACCTCTATTGCCACATAACCTTGCGGGCAATCAATGTATCTTTGATTTATTGTTCTCTGACTGGCTTAGATCCTTGCAAAACTTGCATTGCAGTCTTCGCGCATCCCGAGGGATGGATAGTTTAGTAAGCTATCTAGCTAGATGCTTAAAAACTGAGAGACTTACTACTCGTGCCCGCCCCCACTTTAAGGGATTCGCTTTGGCTCACCCACTAAAGTGGGGGCGGGCACGAGTAACAGAAGCCCTGTTGCTAGTAACTATGATTGTCTACGGTTTTTGCGGCTATACACGCTTTTTCCGCCCAACTTAGTGCGAAGCACTAAGTTGGCTGACTAGGCGCCGGCGCGGAAATGTTAGTCAGCAGCAGGGCGCGGGAAAATTACATTCGCTCCCCGCCTCGGCGCGCTTTTGACTAATCATGGTCCAGCTGGCTCCATTCTTCGCCCTTACATCCAATTAGATTGCTTCACGAGGAGGACGAATCCCAAACTCATTCAGGAACAACTTACCGCTACAATATGGTCCATAGCCTGCTTTAGTAGCCACTTTGCTACACTTTTCTGCGCTTCTCTAGAATGTCTTGCACTCCTTTCTGATAATGCGAGGATTTATATATGTCTTGAGCGCTAATTGCAGCCAGTCTTGTCGCATTATGGCGGGATTCTCCGGCGATTTCGGCTTTGCACGATATATTTTCACATAATCGACAATTCGCGTCACATACTTCCAGGCTTCTCTTGCCGCGATATTTCTAGCATAAGCAGCCCCCAGAGAGTAGTATAGCATGTGATTTGCAGTGGGAAACTGTGGGAATTGTAGTAATCCATTGTACTCATCTAGCTAGCTCGCGTGTGCTGTCACGTGTACGGCTGAGGATAGCTGAGGTCACATAGCTAGCTTCGTGGCCTCCTCCCTTCCTAGAAGATCATAGACGAATACAACACACCAGTTACCTCTATCATCTGTGCATGCATGCATTGAGACCTACCAACACGGACAGACTTAACAGCTCCTCAAATGAGCCTCTAAATTTAACTGGACGTAAGGGCCAGGAGTGGAGCCAGCTGGACCATGATTAGTCAAAAGCGCGCCCAGGGGCGACTGATACACTGGCGCCACCCTTTGGCTGTTCTGGCGCCCGGTTGTACATTTACAGAAGTTCCTATCTATATGAGAAGTCACTAACGACTTTATAAGAAAGGAAATATTAACGCCAACGTGAAGACTAGAAATCTCTATCCGAAGTGATTATGCTCCTCCCCGTAAAATATTTTCTATTATTATGAAATAGTGCTATAGTAAGTAAAAAAAGTTAAAAAAATATAAACTTTCTTTTTAGCTTAACGTACCCCACTGCGTCATGCAACGCACTAGGTCATGCAACAATTTTCAACACCTGACGCGTCTTCTTCAAATTGACGCGATATGGATCACAACCCTCGTATTGCAGAGGCAATTATAGAACTGCAATCCCAAGATCGCCCTAAATATGCAGAGACCGCGAGGAGATACAATATCGACAAATCCACGCTGTGGCGCCGCTTCAAAGGCAAAACAGCCTCAAATCACGACGCGAACTCTTACTCGCGACAGAAACTCACCAGCGCGCAGGAGGAGATTCTTATTGGGCACGTCAATAAGCTGACCGACCGTGGTATCCCGCCTACCCTCAGATGTTGAAGAATATCGCCGAGGAAATCGCAGGGACAGAGCTTGGTGTCAACTGGGTGAGCCGCTTCCGCAAGCGACACCATGACCGTCTTTCGAGCTTGTATTTGCGCACCATAGATCATCAGCGGAAGGCTGCTGATAATTCAGGCATTTCCAAAACTTCTTCAATCTAGTAAGACTGCTTTTTATCGTCATTTCAAGGGGTATACTGCCGACAATACTCGGTCAAATGCCGTAAAGTCGCCATTTCTGACCGAATCCAACTAGCTCCGCGAAAAGATCGAAAAGTACAACATCAGTCCCTCAAATGTTTATAATTTTGACGAGAAGGATTCCAAATTGGTCTCTCTCGCTCCACCAAGCGAGTTGTCCCCCGAGAAGCCCTCAGGCGCGGAAAACTGGTCGGGGCAAGCCAAGACGGGAACCGGGAGTTCATCACGCTGATCGCTGCCATATGTGCAGATTATTCGTACCGCCACCGGCCCTCATTTACAAAGGGGAGTCAAAAGACTTTCAAGATACTTGGCTTGAGGATTTTGACCATTCCAGCAAGTAGCCTTCTTCGCCAGTACGGAAAACGGCTGGAGCTGTGATGCACTGGGTTTACACTGGCTTCAGCGCATATTTGACTGCCATACGAAGCAAAGGCTGGTCGTGCCTACCGTCTCTTAATTTTAGACGGTCACAATAGTCACATTAACCTGAAATTCATTGACTATGCCGATCGGAATCGAATTCTCATTGCTGTGTTGCCATCGCACTCAACTCATCGGCTTCAACCACTCGATGTTGGCCTGTTTTCCGCACTCTCCACCTATTATGCTCAAGGTTCCGACCAGCTGATGTCCATTGGATGGGGGTTAATTCGCCTTACCAAACGGAATTTTTGGCCACTCTTTCGTGATGCGTGGAACCAGGCATTTACGGCCAAAAATATCGAGGCTGGTTGGCGGGCCACAGAATCCATCCACTCGACCCCGGCAAAGTATTGTCCAAGATTAGCCACAGCAGTGATGTGACACCCCCACAAACTGCATCTGAGGAAAGGGCGATGAAGACTCCAGGCTCTCTTCGGGCTATTCGGCGCATTACCCGCCGTCTCCGCAAGGAAGGGCTGATGGACTCCCGAGTCACAGCGCTCTCCCGAGCATCAGAGAAACTGGCGACACAATATGAGCTCGTACAACACGAAAATCGAGATCTACAGGAAGCGCTCAAACTTGCACATAAAAAAGGGAAACGCAGAAAGGCCTTGGGCCTTTTCAATCCGGAAGAAAGTGGTGGCCAGCCGGTCTTTTTCAGTCCAGCCAAGGTGGAACTGGCGCGGCGACGTCAGACGGACAAGGCACAGGCCGACGAGCAGCGCAAGCAAGCCATTGAAGATCGTCGACTCCAGGTAGCCATATCACGTGAAGAAAAGGCTCGAGAATCTGCCGAGAAGAAAACAGCGGGCTGCAATGCGTCAGGCCTTGCGAGAGCAGCGTTCTCGAGAGAAGACAGAGCGTGCTGCGGAGCGCGAGGCAAAGCGAGCTGAGAAACGGGAGGCCGCAGCAAAATTAAAAGCAGAGAGGTCTGCACGCGAGGCTGAACGCCAGGCTATTCGGGAAGTCAAGTTTGAGGTAGCTGCTACGTCAAAGCCTGGTGTAAGAGGGCACAAAAGACATGGTAGCGGTGAGAAAAACGAGGGGCGTTGGAAGCGGGTTTGCGCGACGGGCATTCAACCACGCAACAACTCGGAGGAAGAAAGGGTAAAGATTGGTTCTGAAGCTTCAGTGGCTCGAGACCACAGTCCCGGAGCTTTAGGGGTTAAAGACATACCTCCCGTTCGACGGAAGCGCAGGAAGTATGGAGGCCGGTTTCTCAGTCTCTCAGGTCTGGGCGGACCACAAGACCGCCTGCTCATATTTCCTAAGAAAACCATCATATAGATAGACTCTGTATGAAGTGTTTCACATATTGTAATGTTTAATAGTATTTTAAATGGTTTGTGTCGGTTGCAGGATTAATTTTCGCTCTGGCTTGCCGGTCGGGCAATTTGTTGCATGACGTGGTGCGTTGCATGACTCAGTGAGGTACGTTATGTAAGCTTATTATAAAAAATTATAAAGAGATTACTATTTAAATATCTTATTATATAAATTTTTAAAATAATACTTAATATTTTATAAAAACTATAGTAATGTCACGACCCTGGGCGCCGGCGTAGAGCCGCCAGCGCAGAACCTCACCAGTGTCACGTGCCCAAGCAGCATCACGTGCCCACGCGCGACCTCGTGTCTATATAAGGGCCCGCTCGGTCGTGTAGTCTAGTCTTCCTTTCTTGCTCCTTAGCTTTGAGTCTTTGTTCATAGTGCCAATACATCTTTATAGCCGTCAAGGCTCGTATGTGCCTGGCCGTAACACTACTCAAAGCTCAATAAGATCGCTTGCCAGCGATTAAGCAAATAGGCACCGAGCTTTCACGTCACACGCGCCTGACGTAAATCCAGCGCATCCGTTCTGACCGTTCCGACCAAGACTCCGACCACCGACCAAGTGATCCTCAAGGCTGAGATCACGTCCGTTCCGACCAAGACTACGCGTGTGTGTAGCCGTCCGACCAACCGTTCCGACCAAGGGATTCGTCCCGTCTGACCTCCGACCGTCCCTGCTCGTGCAGGCATCTGACCGTGATTCCGCGTGGTATCATTTCCGACACCTATCACCTCGCGACTATGATATCCGAGGAAGCCCTGCCCTCTGATCAGCCTCGCCGTTCCACCCGGCTTGCTGGCCAAGCCACTGAATCCGAAATAGTAGCCATGGCTGCCCCGAGCCCCCAAGACGCTCTCATCCGCGAGATGAGGGAACAGATTGCGGCCTTAACGGCCCGTCTAAATGAACGCTCTCCGTCTGTTGAATCAAATCGACAGCACCGGGAGCCCTCGACTGCTTTGCCGGCCCAAATGGCCCGGCCTTCCGACCAACAGGCAAAGCTGCCTGGCCTGTTTTTGCCCCCTTCCCAGAGGGCAAGAACCCCGAGTACAGCGACGCCGCCAAATCGCGCATCAAGGCCTCCGCGACGTTCTCAGGAAAGAAGGACGAGTTCCATTCCTTCATCCTGAGCATAAAGAACAAATTTGACGAAGACGTGCGAACCTTCCGGACTGAGAACAGCCGGATGGTCTGTCTGTATAACCTGCTCGAGGAAAAGCCCGCCGAGCACTTGAAACCCGCTTCTCCTCTGACACTCGACCCTTCTCTGGAGTGGCAGAGATGATCCAAGCCCTCGAGTCCGCCTATGGCAATCCGAATGAGCTTTCCGAGGCTCTTGACCGCCTGCAACGCCTCCAGTTTACCGTGAATGGGAAGACCGACATTGTGGACTTCCTTGCGGAATTTGACTACTTAACTGCGACCGGTCGTGTGCCCGAGGACCAGATGAAGCATACCTTGTGGCAGCACATCCCGGCCAACCTAGATAACAGCCTCTTGACCAAGACCCGTGACGAGTCCGTGACCTACGAGGTTTTCTGTGGGTTCATTAAGGACGCTGTCCACTGCCAGAAGAGGAGTATGAGGCAGACACAGGACTCCCGCTCTTCCGACCGATCTCGCCGCGCGCCGACTAAGACTGCTCCGACTACCGCCAAGACTCCGAACAAGACCGGCTCGACCCTATCACCTCGCGTGATGCTGGCAGAGCCTTGACCGACGATGAGAAAGGGTCCATTGGGATAATGGCACCTGCTTTATTTGTGGAAAAACAGGGCACCTCTCTCGCGACTGTCCCGACCGCACCCATGCTGTCTCCCGTGTCGCCTCCGTCCCTGTCCCTGCCAACGACTCTGATCAAGATTCGAAACGAATAGGACCATCACAAGACTCCTTGATGGTCCCTAAGGTGTCACAGATAGCGAGTAGGTCTAGCAAGTCATTCACTCTGCCAAGTCAAGTCCAAGTGGATGGTGTGAGCTTACCTGCCCGCTCCCTCTGTGATACCGGAGCCGAAACCCGTTTGCTGGTTAGCCCAACCTTCGCCCAGTCCGCCGCCCAAAGACTCGGAGCCCAGATTAAGGAGCTCCGAGTCGGATTCCCCTCAAGACTTCCGTGGAAAGCCAGCCGGCTATATCCAGAAACAGCTGGTCGCCACTTTCGTCATCGATGGCCGTTCGTTCGCAAACGAGACATTTGATATAGCTGAGTGTGGCCATGATATCTTTATCGGTCTTTTCTGGATGCGGGAGCGCCTCCTGCTTGACTGCGCCGCCCGACAGATCCTCTCGTCAAGCCCCGCTCTCGGGTCGGATCGACCCTAAGATCCAGGCCGACGCTGAGAGGCGGAACCGCCTGCTCGAGAAAGAGGAGAAACGCTACCGGATCCTCCACAAGAACTGGCGCCGCTCTGATCAAGCTCCTCCGGCCTCTGTCCCGACCCCGTTACCGACTCCGTCTCCGTCGTTTCAGTCCAAGTCTCCGTCTGCCAAGAAGTCTGTCCGTTTTCAGCTCACGACCGCCCCTGCTACCGACTTCGTCTCCGTCGCCTCGGTCCAAGCCTCCGAAGATCAAGCCCTGATTAACGCCCTGGTCTGCCAAGTAGAGTCTCACGAGAGATTCGAACAGTGGAACGAACTCGAACCGTTGATGCCCCGGGATCCAGTCCAGCTCGAGCCAAGCTCCGGCCTTGACCAGACCGTCCCTAGTGCTCGAACCGTTGCTAAAGTCTCCCGGATCAGAAGACCTACCAGGGACAAAGCATTCCGTTCCCTCAGGAGAAGACCCTGAGCATGTTGCTTGTGTCCGTAGTCGTCTACCGCCCCAGCTCACCCATCTAGAGGATTCTTCTCGAAGAAAGAGGCCCACACCCTACCTTCGAGCCGACCCGGTCACGATGTAGTCCTAGAGCTTGAGAAGCCTCTTTCGCCGACAGGACCCCATCGTACCGCACGCCCGTTAAGTATCTGCCTCTAAAAAGAGACTGTCGATCACCTCCGGGAGATAGACTTCATCGAGCCCGATCCGAGTCCGCACGCCGCATCCGTCCTCTTCGCTCCGAAACCGAACACGACCGCCCGCCGCTTCTGCATCGACTACCGTTGGATGAACGATCATCTTAAAAGTCGCATCACGCCCGCTCCGTCCCTCGAAGGTACTGCTTTCGGTTGCCGTGAAGCTCAACGCTTCACGAAGATCGATGTGATCCAGGCCTTCCACCGTCTCCGCATGGACCCTGACTCCGAGTATTTGACCGCCTTTCGCACCCGTTTCGGAACTTTCCGCTGGAAAGTCCTCCCGTTCGGTCTGAAGGTAGGTCCCGCCTGGTTCCAGCAGTTTATCAACGCGCAGCTTCACGATCTCCTCGACCGGTGCGCCAGCGCCTACGCAGATGACGTCCTGATCTACTCGGATAAAGAAGAAGACCACTGGAAAGACTGTCAAGAAGTGATCTGGCGACTCCATCAGGCCAACCTCCAGGGAGACATCAAGAAGTCTAGATTTAACGTGACCAAGGTTGACTACCTCGGCGTTCTGCTTGAAGCCGGTGTGGGCCTTAGTGTCGACCCTCGGAAAGTTCGATCGATACAAGACTGGAAGTTTGAAGACCTCCGAGACCGCACCGCGATCCGATCATTCGTTGGCCTATGCAACTTCATCCGTGTTTTCTGCTACCACGCCTCCGGAGTGGCAGAACCCTTGAACCGGTTGCTTAAGAAGGATGTTGCCTTTGTGATGGGCCCGGAGCAACGCGAAGCATTTGATCAACTCAAGCGCCTGGCTATCGAAGCCCCGGTCCTCGCCTTCTTTAGACCAGAACTGCCGACCCGACTGGAGACCGATGCCTCCCGGAATGCCACAGCTGGTGTTCTATGGCAGGAACAGCCTGATCAGACCTGGAAGCCCGTTGGATTCTTCTCTAAGACCATGACCCCGGCCGAGCGAGCCTACCCAATCCAAGATCGAGAGCTCCTCGCCGTCGTACAGAGTCTAGAGCACTTCTACCCAGAGCTCTTAGGCCAGAAGTTCGATGTGATCACCGATCACGAAGCCTTAGTCCATTTCTCTACGAAGCGCCTGCTCTCGGTACGACAGATCAGATGGTCCGACTTTCTCGCCCAGTTCGACATCCGTTTCCTCTACCGCCCCGGTCGACTGAACGTAGTCGCCGATGCCCTCTCAGGAAGACAGCGGAGCCCCTACCGTAAAGGCCCGGGAAGCCGAGGAACGCACGGTGACCCTGATCCCTCCGGAAAGGCTAGGCTTCGCGACCGACTCTCTAGACCCTACGGCCGCCGGCAACCTGCCCCCTCAGAACTTTAGTCCCGAACCTAAGCCTACTAGACCATTAGTTCTGAGGGCCACGAGTGCCCTACAGACCCCAGAAGACCGAGGGATACAGCAGACGCCCGATCAAGACCGCCCAGAACTAGACCCGAACTCGGTCCCGAAGGAGCCGAACTCGTTTCGTTGATCCGCCAGGAGAACCTCCTCCAAGACCTCGGTACCCATGGAACACACCTGGTCGTACCAGCCCAGACCTCAGACAAGCAGACGTTTCTTCAGACCGCGCTCATTCGCGAAGCCCACGAACCCCAGATCTTCGCTCACGCCGGACAGAACAAGGTGATCAAGCTGCTCCAACGAGACTTCTACTGGCCAAGGATGAAGGAGGATATCCGTCGTTATATTCGGAACTGCCACGACTGCCGCCGCAACAAAACCCCTCGAGACAAGACCCCTGGACTGCTCCATCCACTGCCCGTACCGACCTCTGTTTGGGAGCACGTCGAATGTGACGGGAAGGATATGCCGAAAGACCGTTACGGATATGACTATGTTTGGACCTTCGTCTGCAAGCTAAGCCGGATTATCGCCACGCTCCCAGGAAAGAAAAACGATACGGCAGAAGTCTTAGCTAGCCGCTACTTCCGCTACCTCTATCGTTTCTTCGGTATGCCCTCGTATGGATTTCTGACAACGCTGGAGAGTTTATTTCTGCCTTCCTCGCAGAGATTAACCGGCTCACGGGAACGAAGCATCGTCATGGAAGCTCCCTACACCCTCAGACCCAAGGGGTGTAGAAGTTACAAATCAATACCTAGATCAAAAGCTACGATTCTACGTGACGAAGCATCAAGATAACTGGAGTTCCCTGCTGCCCGCCCTCGACTTCGCCCATAACTCGTCTTGGCACTCTTCCATCGACATGGCACCGTTAAAAGTAGCCCTAGGCCGAGATATCCGGAACCCCCTGTCACTGCCCCCGACTGACAAGACCGCTGCCACCGGACCCGCCGCCAGAGCTAGGGAACTTGTGCAGACCGCCCAGGAAACCCAGGAAGACGCCAGGAATGCTGCCACCGCCGCTCAAGAACGTCAGAAGGAACAGGCTAATAGGAAACGACGACCAACCGACTTTGCCATCGGTGACCGAGTTTTCTCAGCAGGAAAGGCTTCGCCACGAACGCTCCGACTACTCGGCTAGATAACCAATGGTCAGGTCCGTTCGTAATCCTGGAAGAACGCGGTCATAGCTACGTACTGCAGCTGCCCGAGTCGTACAAAATGAAGAACCTATTCCACGCCGACCGTCTTCGAAAAGCAGCCGATAACCCCTTGCCCCAGCAGATCCAGTCACCTCCGCCACCCGAGGAGATCAACGGAGAACCCGAGTGGGAGGTTGATCAAGTCCAGCAGTCTCGAGTAACCGGTAGGAGTCGACGACTGGAATACCAGGTCTTATGGAAGGGATGTGACCCTGATGAGACCTGGTACCCGGCTAGGAATTTCCGTAACGCACCAATGGCATTGAAGATTTTCCACGATGAACATCCGGACGCAGCAGGCCCACCCGTCAACCTGCAATACTGGATCGAATGTGCTGCAGCGGAGGAGGGCTGCGAGGAACGAGACGATGACGACACAGCAGAGAAAGCCGTGAAACCAAGAACCCGCCGCCACGACTGACTACCTTGATACGCATATCAAGGCCTTAGACGGGGGGTAGTGTCACGACCCTGGGCGCCGGCGTAGAGCCGCCAGCGCAGAACCTCACCAGTGTCACGTGCCCAAGCAGCATCACGTGCCCACGCGCGACCTCGTGTCTATATAAGGGCCCGCTCGGTCGTGTAGTCTAGTCTTCCTTTCTTGCTCCTTAGCTTTGAGTCTTTGTTCATAGTGCCAATACATCTTTATAGCCGTCAAGGCTCGTATGTGCCTGGCCGTAACAAGTAAGACTAGTTTTAAGAAAACATTAATTTAAATATTAATTAAAAGTAGTTTTTAAAGTAAAAATTAAGAAGTAATCTTTAGCTATTAAAAAGTTAAGTTTTAGAAATATTATATTTTTATATTTTTATATAAAATATTAAAAGTAGTAGCTTATTTTTTAAAAATAAAATTTTAATTTAAGAAAAATAGTATTAAAAAAGCTATATAATAGATATACAATTAAAATTATATTTTTATTATATAAAATAATAATCTTAATTAGGAGATTTCTTTCTTATTTTTATAGTGTTGGATCCACCTGTGCACTAGGCACCGATCGCGCACGTATAACTAATCGACCGCGCTAGTCACGTGCGAGTAAGAGGTGAGACACAGGGAGGAAGGTCTTTGCACACAGTTTGTATGGGACACGTTTCCCTAGTTACACAAGATATAACCAATTGAACCAGTTCGAATAACCTCACTGCAGTGAAGAGCCTGTCCACACTGATCAGTGTCGCCCGGCAAAGGTGACACAGAACAGCAAGACGGAAGAGAGCTAACCTATCGTCACGCTCTGCAAAGCGAGCTCCTGACGGTAGGATAGTTGCTACAACGCGCGGATTGCTACGAAGACTCTGCATCAGAGCCCACTCTAGTTATCCAACCGTGCCTAAGCTTTGCTGTCATCAGCGACCCTTAGGCGTGCCCTATCGCACATTGATAACCTCATTGACACCCTGTGCCCTGTTTCTCAGCACACAGCCTGTCAATATGTCTGACAATTCATCTGCCGCACTAGCCCCGGCAACAGCCCAGGATACCCCGGCCAACGTGTCTCTCGAAGACAGGCAACTCGTTGAACGGAACCTGACGATCGTGGAGCTCCCTTCACTCCCGATCAGGCATTTCGACGCGGATTTCCTCAACGAACCTATCACCCAGAGCTCCTCCCTTGTCCACCGCAACAGCTTCTTCTTAGGCTGTGTGGCAACATACACGGTGGATAAACGTAACCACGGAATTGCCCTGCTTGGGGATCTGTATAACGACTTCACGGGATGGAGCTATGATGACTTCGAACTAATCAACCCACGCCTTAGATCAAGACTCCGGACGCTTCTCAGAATTAGGGGGATCTATATGGGCAAGGCCAACTCTAGCATCTCTCGAGCTTTATGTGGCCTTCTAACAAGTAACGAACTTCCTGAATGGGATGAGAACGAGTTGCTTGGTCAAGAGGTTGCTGAAAACACCGTGGCATATAAGGTGAAACAGAAGCTGCTCCAAGGAACTGTTAAAGCGGCTATATCGTCACCGGCACCGGTAGTAATCCAGCAGCCAACTATTACCCGACCGGCGGAACCGGAATCCCCTCAGATCATTGAGACCCATCAACCCGCTCAGCAAGAGCCTCAGCATCAATGGCGCGAATCCCTCGGTATCAGCAGACGCTCCCCGTACGGACTACCAACTTCCGAGATGCATACACGAGCATTCCACCTGTTCGATTCGAGAACGAGGAAGTTGAGGCCGATCTCACGATTAGATTCATTAAGATATGGGACAAGAAACTAGCCTATACCGGCGAACCATACGATATCTTCGATGACAAGATCCGGAAATTCATGAGCGTGTGCCGTCAAGCAAACATTCCTCCGTCTAAATTCCATGGTGTTTTCCCTTCGATTCTGGCCAAGAAGCTCAGTCCTTCTTTCTACACGAAATCAGCACTGATTTAACCTTCGCTGAGATGTATCAGAAGATGAAAGAGCACTTTGACACCGAAATCAACCAGAAGATGTATCATACCCACTGGAGCACCCTCACCTTCAGCCGACTTCGGGCTGAGATGCCCGGTAAGTCATCTGACGAGGTCCTCCAGGCCCTTCTTACGAAATTGCGGCTCTGTAGGAGAGCACTCGGGGATAAGTCTGGCGGCGAAGGTGGCCTGATCGATGCAACGCTCAGGGCGTGCCGTGGTGTGCCTGAATTCCGACTCGCGATATACTCTCCCGCACCTACATTTGAGGGATTGGCATCACAGCTTCGATCATCGCTATCTGCCATGCAAGATGAACGATCTGAACAACCCAGTGGCCAATATCCCCAAGACCTGGATAGAGGACATGATCAGCACTTCGTGGATCGCAAATTTCAGCGAAATTCCGGCGGAACAAGAGGTCAATCACAAAGGCGTCAGCCAAATTGGAAGAAGAAATGCTACGTTTGCGGCAAGGAAGGTTGTTTCTCAACGAGACATCCTGAAAACGAGAGAAAAGCAGCCAAAGAGAAGTATCTACGAGAGAGGCTTCCACGGTCAATCTCGTTCGTATGCTATGTTCTTGGCTGACTATGAAGGGAATCACAGGATCAGGATGACTCGAGCACCGAGGAATCCGATGATTCTGACTCCTCTGACCCTTATGAATCGTTCTACGCTGCTGCGACCTTTCTGTCCAACGAAGCTTTCCATCATCGGATCTCTCCAGTAGGCATCAAGTTATTCAACAGTGACGAACCCACACAATTCATACTAGATCGTTACTCTCAAGACTCGTTCCAAGGAATCATGCCGGACACAGGTGCGGCATGCATATCGACGGGAGGAATCGAACAACTGCGTGCTCTCCAACGAGAGATGCCCCCAGTCCAATTCCGTGATGATCGCAAGCCCGAACCAGTTAGATTTGGTGCAGGAAGATTGGAAACACCACTTGGCGTGATCACCTTGAACACACCAGTGGGAGGTTGATTTTCATATAGTCAACGTGCCAACGCCATTCCTCCTATGCCTAGCTGATATGGATCGGCTCGGCGTATATTTAAATAACGTCACGAACGAGCTCGTTGGCAATGGTGTGAGCGTTCCAGTGATTCGAAGATGGGGTCACGCGTGGTTCTTCTTGCGGAAACAAGAGGCATCAGTGGCATATCTCACGGAGGCTGAATTGCGGCGCCTCCACGCGTTTTGGTCATCCATCCGTGTATCGGCTGCACAAGCTGCTGAATTCGGCTGGCCATGATGTGGAAATCGAAGCTCTGGAAATGATCAAGAAGTTCTGCCACTACTGTCAGATGAAATCCGACCCGCCACGAAGGTTCAAGTTCAGCTTGAAGGATGATTGTGACTTCAATTACGAAGTCATCGTTGATGTCATGACATTGGGTGGCAGACCAGTCCTCCATGTTGTTGATCAAGCCACTGCCTATCAGGCAGGAGATTCCTATCCAACATGACGGCCAAGGAAACGTGGCTCGCGTTGAAACAATGTTGGATGGATACATACCTTGGACCACCCGATGTGATCACTCATGACGCAGGCACGAATTTCGCTGCTGCCGAGTTCCAAGCAGAAGCGAAATTGATGGGAATAACGTGTCATCAGGTGCCTGTGGAAGCACATTGGGCTGTTGGGAAGGTTGAGAAGTATCATGTGCCCGTCCGAAGAGCATATGATATATTAAAGGCAGAGCTGAAGGATACCGTGAGCCCTGATCAAGTCCTTCAAATGGCTTTCAAGGCTGTCAACGACACAGCCGGTCCGGATGGCCTCGTTCCAACCCTCCTCGTCTTCGGTGCTCTGCCTCGAATGACGATGGATTCGCCGCCTACACCTTCCGCAATGGCAAGAGCTAAGGCGGTGTGGCGAACGATGTCAGAGCTGAGGAAGATCAACGCCCAGAGGAAGGTTCAGACCGCGTTAAATACGCGTAATGGGCCTGATACAGCGTTGCGCCTGCCCCTATCCCTGGCGCTAGGAAGCGAAGTTCGCGTATTTCGCGAGAAGCACGGATGGCAAGGCCCATATAAAGTGCTCGAGGTGACGGATACGGAAATCGCAGTTGACCTGGACAACGGACCAGCGAAATTTCGCAGTACATGCGTCCAACCGTACTATCGTCACCCGGAATCGCTCCTTCCTCAGTTGCAACCCGACCCTAGCCCTAGCCGCACAGACCCATCAACACAACAATCACTCCTTCCTCAACACAATCCGATCAACAACATCCTCTTCAAAACCCTCTTCCCTTCCACCCACAACTCAACAACCTCTTCCTCTTCCTACCACAGAAGACCAACCCAAACCTTTCGAATACCCTGAGCCAAAGAGGCCGCGCAGGCGTGGCCGACCTAGGAAGGATGCTGCACAAAATGGCACATCAGAATCCACTATTGTTTGCTCACCCGTTCAATTTATCGTTCATCATGAAGCTAATGCGTTTCTTGTTCGAAAAGAAATGGAACATCTCGGCCTAGCCAAGCGGCTACGAGCTGAAGGAAAGATCACAAGCACCGGTTTCCCATTTGAAGCTTCCGACACACTCGAGCTCACGAACCTCCTCGCCGCTGGGGTCATTGTACCCGAAGAATTCGATGCGAATAAACATGGTGGATATCGTGTCTTCAAATCACGAATGGTCAGAGAGGTTAAGGGAAGAAATACTGCAACGCCATACGAGAAATCACGCCTCGTTGTGCAAGGATACAATGATGATGGGAAACGTGGGATCCTCACACAAGCCCCTACCATCAGCCGGCCCGCACAACGCGTGGCCTTGGCCTTAGCACCGTTTCTCTGCACACGGGATATGTTCATCATGATCAGAGACATCACGATGGCATACACACAATCCCAGACCAAGCTGGCCCGTGTCATCCTTGCAGCCCTTCCTCAAGAACTCAAAAGAAGATATCCAGAGGGAACAATCCTGCGAATCGTGAAGCCGCTATATGGCATCGCAGAGGCAGGAGCCCACTGGTTCAACACATATCACGACCATCACTGCCGCAAGCTTAATATGGAAACCTCTTCGTTTGACCCGTGCCTTCTGATCACGGCAAACAACATCGCCGACAAGGACCTGTTTGGCATCGCGGCCTTGCAAACGGATGACACATTCATTGTTGGCACAGATGCATTTCTCAAGATCGAGGAGAAAGAACTCTGCTTTAAGGCCAAGCCAAAGAGATTCTCCAAGAAGGTTCCATCTGCGACTTTAACGGCAGCCGCCTGACCATACAAAATGGCTGTGTCATCGTCAGGCAGAAGGGCCAAGCCCAAAACCTCGAGGAGATCAATCTTCAGGCATCAAGTAGGCATCAGGATTATGCTGCTCAACGCGCCCGGGGGGCATATATCGCTTCGATTTGCCAACCCGAAGCAACATACGATTGTTCCGTTGCGGCACAAGCCCAAGAGCCCGTTAATACCGACTTCAAGGCTTTGAACAAGCGGATTGAATGGCAGATCAACAATCCCGACCGTGGCCTATGTTACATACCCATCGATCTCGAGAGCGCGAAGATCTTTGTGTTCACCGATGGATCATTCGCCAACAATAAGGATTTAAGCTCTCAAATCGGCTTTGTGATTATCATCGCCAATGAGACCGCGCAATCAACCGATTCATTTTCCATCCGCGGAAACATTCTTCATTGAGCTCAACTAAATGCAAGCGCGTTACTCGAAGCGTTCTTGCATCAGAGATCTATGGATTGACATCGGGCTTCGATCTCGCATTTGTGATCAAGCAAACGGTCAATACGATCGCACAACGCCTTGATCTGAAGCAAATCCCGCTCGTCATTTGCACAGATTCATATAGCCTCTATGAGTGCCTCGTCAAACTTGGCACCACAACAGAGAAGCGACTCATGATAGATATCATGGCGCTGAGGCAGGCATATGAATCAAGGGATATTGCGGAAATCCGTTGGGTCAACGGCGCAGATAACCCTGCCGATGCTATGACGAAGGCATCACAAACAGCGCCCTCACGCAGTTTATTAGCGACAATCAGCTAAACGTGAGGGTGGAAGGATTCGTTCATCGCAATAACACAACAATTCTCGACGAGATTTAATCGGTTTTTCGTTCCCTTCTTCTGCTTTACCGTCGTTCTTTTATTCCATTCACATTAACGAGGAGATCCTCGTGTCCATATTCCAACGTGGGACCGATGGAATCAGCTAGCGCATCCGGCGCTCGAAATGCGGCCCATGATGGCGTGTGGCAGAACACACCCAGTGTGGGGAGGAGAGCTACAGTCAGAGCACACTATCCAACATAGTGATGCATCGTGGTAGGAGTTTGTTGGTGTTCTTGTTCGTGTTTTTCCTATCTCATCTTAATTCGCTGTGTTTGGTGTGTTTTTGGTGGATTGATTAGTGCGCGATCATCGATTTAGAAAGAGGTTCCAGTGTTGGATCCACCTGTGCACTAGGCACCGATCGCGCACGTATAACTAATCGACCGCGCTAGTCACGTGCGAGTAAGAGGTGAGACACAGGGAGGAAGGTCTTTGCACACAGTTTGTATGGGACACGTTTCCCTAGTTACACAAGATATAACCAATTGAACCAGTTCGAATAACCTCACTGCAGTGAAGAGCCTGTCCACATATAGCTTAAATTGCTTATATAATTGGCCGTGTGTGTGTGTGTGTGTATTTTCCGTCCAGCGACTTTAGTCGCTCAGGTCTCCTATCGGAGCACAGGACGTGCTGAGCTGATCTAACTATTCCCGACCGCTATCTGACAAGATCAACCAGTTTCCCTTGTAAAGGCCTCATGGTCTCACATAACGACACCTGTCCACGGGCAGTTGTCTCTGCTGTAGACGCCACTAAAGTACATCGCAAGATGTCAGTACAAGTGTCCCGGCTGATCCTCCCCGCAACAGCCGTCCAGTCAGCTCATCCAGCATTTCGACGGCTCAAGGCGCTTTTCGTTCGTGGCCCTCACCCGTCAGCGGGATTTTGGGCAGGTGTGGTCAACCCTTGGTTTTCACCGGTCATAATTCTCTCATCCCTCTGCCAAAGCTACCAGAGCTTTATATCCATCCTCAATCGCCTGAGGAAAGGAAACCGGCCGAGGGGTGGCGGCAGGGAAAAACCCTTCGAAGGAATCAGAGACTGTCGAGCAGCTTGCCTTCAGGAGAAAAACCTCCGCGACCGGCCACCGTTGTTTAGAAGAGCTTGTCTTCCAATACCCTTGGCTCCTTGGTTCCGGAGGAAGCCATGGGGTCCGAGTGGACGTTGTGTCGGGACCAGCTTTGCAGAGGAAGATGAGCTCTCCAAAGTCTTCCTCTGTGCTGTTAAGGCCCCGATGGGGTCTCACAGCAAAAGCGTGGTCGGGTGGCCTGCAAACCCTGCCCCGCGTAACAAGCCGCTAACAGCTCCGCGGGGTGAAGAATTTTTACAGGGGAGAGTTGATATAATTGGCCGTGTGTGTGTGTGTGTGTGTATTTTCCGTCCAGTGGCCTCAGGCCACTCAGGTCCCCTAGCGGGGCACAGGACGTGTTAGGCTAGTGGCTAATTTGCTACGTGAGACTACGTAGAAAGAACACTATCTAACATGGCATCAGCTCAAAGGCGCTCACAATCTAATCTGTTACCCGTCAGCGGGTTGTGCAGGCGATGTCGTATACTGAACCATAATGGTCTGTGGTGCGGGCTGCGGTGGCAGCCGGGAGAGGCTTGCGCGGGCAGAAGGTGTCAACTCCACCTTCCGCCTGTCGCCGCCGGAGAAGAAAGAAAGGAAAGGGAGCACGACAGTGCTGTGATGGATAATTTCATCTAGTGATGCGGGCAGATCTTCTCGAAGAAGGAGCTTGCCTTCGCCAGCTTGACGAATTTGTCGAAATCTCTACCTATTGCCCGCCGACCGCAAGAGCACGTGACACAAGCGTCGTCGTGCTGGAATCTTTCGTGGTAATCAGCAAAGTCACCGTGGTGAGTCCTCGCGGCCAGGAGGTGGTGAAGCATTGTTCTTGGGAGACCTAGCTCCGGAGGACAGCCAGAAGGGAATTTGAGGGTCAGACTCTGATACTTATCGGGCGCTGAAGCATCCCACCAGGCTTGCACTGCGATTCTAGACCGCTGTCTAGCCGTCTTTCGCAAGAAGGCCAGTGTTGGGACTGCGTCTGCGGGTTCGGGCTGGGCGCATCCCGTCTTCGCCAGGATGTCGGCTTGTTCATTTCCTGGAATCTCGGTGTGTCCGGGTATCCAGCGGACTTCAGTCTTTCCGTGCGTTCTCGCCAGGGCCTGAAAGGTCAGAAAGACCCGTTGCGACGAGTCTGAAGGCTTGCCTCGTAGGCATTTGGCGGCTGCGATGTTGTCGAGGCATACCACTATTCGCTGTCTGGCAGACGAAGGGAGCCTGAGAGCGGCTTTGAGGCCTTCCAGCGCTCCTTTGGCCTCCGCATCGAATACCTCGGCAGGGCCGAGGCGTCCAGCCCCTTGGCGGGTTGAATGTCCGTTCTGGTGTACAGTGAAGCCATAACCGGCCGCACCGCTCGGGGAGAGCGAGCCGTCTGAGTATACGATGAGCGTGGACGGCGGGATAGATCGTAGCCAATCGAGAAAGTCGTTGGCTGTATCTTCTTTGGATGCATTTTGTAGCGGCTGCAGTGTTTCGTTAAGTCCCTGCACATAGAAATGGGCACCCCCCTGTTTTGGGCACCCCAAAAAATCACGACCATTTTCAACACCATTAATTCAATCCCTTCTCACTGCCCACCACCGTGCACTACGATACAATCGTCACCTATTTCTGAAACCTCAGCTTCGGTTTCATCAGATTCTTCATTCTCAGCTGCGTTCACCTCCTCCTGCGCCCGTCGTATTGCCTCAATATTGGCGAACCTCGAATTCGGGCTCGTGACCACCCTCTTCCTTTTTCGGCTTGACGGCCGCCAATTGTGTTTCCAGTGCCTGAATCTGCAATTGAGCTTTTGCTAAAAGGCCATCCTTCTCGTCAAACCCTTTTGTGATCTTCCTGAACAGCAATCTCTTCGTGGGCACGTCGTCGTCTAGCTGGTTGAATTGAACTACCTGAACCTTCAGATCTTGCGAGCGCCTCGGGTCGACCACGCAATCTGGGATGTGTCTGATTGCCAGTCACTGGTGGGTAAGTGGCTATTGAATGCATTGGCCACATTTTTCGCGTTCTTTTGCGTCTGTTGCTGTTCTCCAGCAGAAGAGGGCTCAAAAGTGGCTTCGCCATCGACACCGGCCACAAACCCGTCGCTTTCCAGCCACCCTTGATGTTTGACACAGTGAGCGCTTGCTCGCGTGCTTTCTGGTAGCAGGAAAGAAAGTTTTGCTTGCCGACTGGGCTTGAATCGGTCAGGAGGCTGAGAAATCCGACCTGTTTGCGGTAGTAGTGCTTAAGAGCGGAGAAGACAGACAAATCGAGCGGTTGCAGCACATGAGAGGTATGGGAGGTAAGAAAGAAGGTGAATCTGATGCTGGTAGCATAGATACATGAAGTCAACCGTCTCGTGACTTCCGTGGCCGTCCAATACTAGCAGTCTTCGCTCCGAAGGGTCGGGTGGCTGGGTTCTTGGAATGAACCCCTTTCCGAGCCACTCCACCGCAGTTTGGTCCGAAGTCCAGCCGTTCTTTGTCGCAGTGAATTGCCAGTCACTAAAAGTACTGAGATCTTCTGGGAACCACTGTTGCTGGACCGATTTGCCCTTGAAAATGACGGGTGGAGGAGGAAGGTGCCGGCAGCGGACACGCACTCGATGAACGACGTCCAGACCCGAGAACCAGGCGTCTTCTTTTGTACAGATCGTTTTTCAGCACTGCCAACGACCAGGCCATTCTCCCCAAGTCCTTCCATGATGCCTGCTTCATCCATGTTGTACCTGTTCTCCGGCTTAATAGCCAGAATCTCGGGAAGGAAGAAATTGTTGAACCAAGGCCGAATTACCTCGGTAGAAGCGCCGTTGACACGCGCAGAGTCTCTGTGATGGCACTTCTGGGTCCGAACTGCAGGATTTCGTCTTAAAAATGCTTGCATCCAGTGTTTTCCGAGCGGTGTGTGGTCTCCTTTGACGGCGAGCATGCGCTGCGCGAACTGCCTGATCTGCGAGTGAGTGGGAGGAAGGCCCAAGGCGTCCTGAATGAGAATCCATTCGGTAAGTTGCTTTTCCTGTGTCTGAGAAAGCCTCTGAAGAGCAGAAAATGCATCCTTTCTGCATTCGTGACCATGCATGCGATTGTAAAGAGTTGCCCTCGGGACGCCCCAATCGCGAGCAGCCTTCTTGGCGGATCCGCCATTGGCGATTGCCTCAAGGGCGCTGTGAATGTCAGACTCTGTATATTTCATCAGTAGTGGCTTGAAGACACATGCGTCAATTTTTTAGCAGATTGGATGCGTTTCCGCGGTGAAATTTGCTGTTGAAGTTGACGCAGCCGTTTAGGTTGGGCACCCATCTTGGGTGCCCAAAACAGGGGGGTGCCCATTTCTATGTGCAGGGACTTATTGTACTTTCGTGGGACCAGTACAGGGCGCTGGCAGTTCGCCAGCAATTTGTTCGTTCTCCTCAGCCGAGTTGGGAAGGCCTTTGGCGGAAGTTGGTATTTCAGCTTGACACACTTGATGATGGGCCGAGGCGCAATCTCGATGGTGCGTTTGGCGAGAGGATGTGCATGATCCAACGATTTGATGCGAGCAGAGAACCGAATTCGTCTCCCCTCCAGTAGTTGGCGAACCGGGGGTATGCCGCTTTCTCGGTGCAAGACAGCGATCCGGGTGGTCTTCCACGTCGGCAGAATCGCTCGGACGGCCTGCACGAGGGCTTTACTCATTTTCCGCAGAAGCTGTTGGATTCGGGACGGTCCTTGCACCGTCGGTTGTCTCCAACGCGGCGACGTTGGGCCTGGATACCAGGCTTCGACGCCGAAGAGCAGAATCGGTTCGACACAGGCTCTAACGGCCCGCTGCATAGCGCGCGGCAGAGCGCCCCGCCGGGTGTTCCCTAGGCTCCGGATATGGTTGGCGACCGCTTGGGCCTTGGCCGTCCACTTTTCGACATGGGTCTTGAATGTCAACTTCCTGTCCAGCCAGAGGCCTAGCCAGCGCATGGCTGTTTCTGGTCGCTTCTCCATGTCACCGTGGCGGACGGGCGGCTTGGTTTCCCGCCTCCTCGGCGAGAAGTGCATGACTTCTGTCTTTTCTGGATCGAATGAGATGCCGTTGGCGGCGCCCCAGTTCACGAGTTCTTGAAGGTATTCCGACGCCTTTTGCGATGTCTGCTCCAGCGATTGTCCGACGCAGAGAATGGCGGTGTCATCCGCGTATCCGAACCGTCCTTCGGGATTGCCTAGCCGATAGATCGCTTCGGTGTAGAGCAGAAACAAGATCGGCGACACGGGTGAGCCCTGTGGGAGGCCGCACTGCAGTGGCGTTGTCGGTGTCGTGATGTCTTGGTATCTGACTCTTGCGGATCGGCCGCTCATGAACGAGCCTGTCCACCGCGCTAGATTGTCCGGCCAGCCTTGCTCACGGAGCCTCAGGACAAGCCTGTTGCACATGGCGGTGTCGAAGGCTCCTTGGATGTCTGCTGTGACCAATGTGGCCACCTGTCCACGTGCGAACGCTTCTTCGATGTCATGAATCAGCGCGGCGACCAGGTCAACGGCAGACCGTTTTGGGAGAGCGCCGGCTTGCTGTGGATGAAGGACCGCATAATGGATTGATGCCCACGCTAGACGGCGAGCGATCAGCCGCTCAAGGCCCTTCCCAAGACAGGAGAGCAGAGAAATAGGGCGCCAAGCTCTCGGGGTCGACAGGTTTTTCTTTCCCGGCTTGGGGATCATGACCACTTCTGCTTCTCGAAACGCTCCAGGATGATGGCCCACCGTCAGGCATCCCTGATAAAGGCGGCGGACGTGTCCCCTAACGATGTCCCATACTGCTTGCAGCAGCTTGACCGTGATGTTGTCGGCTCCGGGCGAGGTATTACCCGTCTTGATTGTGGCGTCCTCTGCTTCTTCCAGCGTGACTTCTTGAGCAAAAGGTATCTTGCGGGCTGGTTGGACCGGGATCCATGGGTCCGCAGTGTCATCCGCCGCCGTACGGCGTTCAAGAGTGCTGCGTCTCAGCGCGTTCGCTTTTTCCAGCTGGGTCTCGTATACAACGTCACCGATTTGAAGCGGTGGGGGCTGGAAAGCTCCCGGCGATTTGAGCCACCGGACTGCCTTGTAAATCGATGCGCTATCCGAGAAGCCGTCGATGAGGTTGCGCCAGTACTGCCGCTTAGCACGGCGGACCACACGCTGAAAATCTCTTCTTGCTAGTTGGATTTCCTGGCTGAACCCCAAAGGGAGGCTTCTTCGTATGGCGCGGTACTCCGCAGCGGCTTCGGCGCATTCGTCGGTCCACCACGGCGCACTTCGCGTTCCTTTCCGTACGGGGCGGCCGGCACTTCTGGCAGCCGATTGAAGGAGGTCAACAAGCGCCGCGGCGAGTGCGTCAAGCTGCGAGGCTGTTGCCGTGTCCGTTGGTATTTCACAAGCTCCTGCGGCAACGAGTTCCTTGAAGCGTTTCAGTTCATCGTCGGTCGTGACACGCACTTTGCCCGTCACCTGTGGTAGGCTCAGGCTAAGATCGGGAAGTATGAGACTTAGAGTGAAGTGGTCCGAGCTCGTGGCGAGATGGTCTTCCACAACCGCAGACGCCAAAGCGATGTTGGAGAAAGCCAAGTCGATTGTGTTGCCATGAGGGTTTGTCGGCTCGTCCGCCGTATTCAAAAGATTCAGTCCGTTTTCGGCCGCCCAGGTGGCAATGTCCTCCCCACGGCCCTCCAGTCGTCCCGTTTGCCAGGTGTAATGCTTAGCATTGAAGTCACCAGCCACAAGGGTCTTTTCTGGTGCCGACCACCGCAGCAGCACGTCCAAGGAGACGTCATAGTGCGGTTGGCGGTAGAAGTTGACGATTGTGACGCCGTTCACCGTAAGCCACAGGATGTCTCGGGTGAGTGCCGGTCGTTTCTGGTCTGCGAGAATCCGCGAGTCCTTACGGATGTATGTCATGACCCTCGGCCGCGTGTCATTGCTATCCCAGCTGTCGACGGGTGAGTAGGTGTCGTAGGCTGGGTGAGTTTTGGTTAGGCATCTTGAGTTCTTTGCCTCTGTCCAGGGTTCTTGGAGAAGGACGATGTCATATTTGGCGGAGTCAGCCAGTGCCAAAGCGCAATCGTGGGCTGGCGGGATCTTGCCCACATTCGCTTGGAAGACCTTGAGTGTCTTCTTGTCGGGATTGTGTACTCTTGGCCGCCGACTCATGGAGAAGACGGGTTGGTGTTGGCACGGCGCCGCTTAGGCGATGTCAGCAAGGGGCGTCTCGCCGGCGCTTCTGGCCTGAGTTCCGCGGCCCTCAGGCGTATCGGAGACGCGATGGCAGAACTGGCGGGGTGCAGGTGGAGAAGTTAGTCAGGGCCTGGGGGTTGACATGTTCTTGAGGCGGGTACATGACTGCCACTGGGGCACGCTGTTGTTCTGCGACGGCCTCCGGTGCTGGCTGGCCATTAAGCTCCGTCTGAGATTGCTGTCGCTGCTGTGCAGCCTGTTGTTGTTGAAACAGGCGAGATCCCATCTGTCTGATCAGTGCTCGTTGTTCTTTTGGGAGACGATGGAGCAGGCCATGTGCTCTCTTCGGCCGCGCCGGGCATGCTGCAAGGTCCGCAGCATGGGGCCCAAGGCAGTTGGCGCACTGTTCGGGAGCCGTGCAGCTGTCACTGGCGTGATTCGTCTTGCCGCAGCGTTTGCATCGTGTTTGTCTGTTGCAAGCATGCCGCGTGTGATAGTCCCAGCAGTTTTCGCATTGCTTAGGGGGGTTCGTTCTTTCGATGTGTCTGGCTACTCGGCTGGTGCCGAAAAGGCTCCAGGGTCTTTTTGTCGGTTCCAGGAGGGAGATGATGAGTGTCTTGTTGGGAAGTTGTTCATTGTCACGGCGAGGGACTCGGATGCTAACCGGCGTGTGTCCCGTCTGGTTGTTTACTTCATCACGGACGGCAGCGTCATAGTCTACTTCGTTTCCGTACAGGTCTGTAAGCCTACGAGGGCAGTTGTCTACGACGTAGTTGTACCATTTTTGGCTGGTTTCAACAGCCGTTGCGCCAAGATCGTCGGCCCATTCGGCTTGGCGTTCAATAAGCAGATCACGGGTGGCTTTGTCTGCGGCGCGAATGGCCCAACCGGTGTTCACTTGGAGGACTTGCGGGATCCGATTGAGCTCAAGGCCCGTCTTGCTGGCTACGTGAGCTCGTATGGCGTAGCCGATGTGGTTTCTGGCTGGTGCGTCGGCTTCAAGGCGGACGAAGACCCGGAGGTCTTCTCGCGACGGAGCGGGCACCGGCGATCCTTGCGCTTGGTGATGAGTGGCAGCAGGCTTGGGTCGTGGATTTGCCGGAGAGGCGGTCCCGTTGGCGGCTATGCCGCTATAGGTCGGTGTAGATGCAGGGCTGGTGTTGGCCAGAGTTTGTTCCCAAAAACCGAGGAAGCTAGTGGAGAAGTGCTTGGCGAAGTCGCGTTCCGGCCCGGTAGCAAATTCCTTGGCGGCCTCGTTGAAGTGTGCACAGAAGGTTCGGAAAACCCTGAGTTTGGCGTTGTAGACGGCGGCTTGCGCGTCGATGAGCTGGGTAGCTGCATGGGTGATGTCAATGGGCAACCGCTGCTCCTGTGTGGCCGTCGTAGGCAGTGCAGGGAATTCGTCAAGCTGCTGTCCTTCCGCATTGGCAGCATTGCACATTCGGGTAAGTGGCGACGAGGGCGTCTGGGCCGTCCTTCCGCGTGGGGGTGAAACGCCAATGTCGGTGATCTCCGCAGGGGAGCTGTCTCGAAGGAGGGCTGCGCGGGCGCCTCGAGCTAAGTTGTTGGGGGTATCCCTCGGGATGCGCGAAGACTGCAACGCCAATTTTGCAGGGATCTTATCCAATAAAATGGCCACATATCAACGGTACATCGATTACCTACTATTTTATATGATGATACAAGTCCCAGCAATCCCCCACTCTACAAAGAGATACATCGCACTGCTCACAACCCCAACGTGACTGCCGCACCCTCTGGCGATTGATGCTATCGTCATCTAGTGCGCCCAAAGGCGGCCTTTGTTGTTGACTTTGTGAGCGAACCTGGCCTAATCGGAAGCCTTGGCAGGCTACGCACCTAGAGCACTTGCCGCGCTGTTTATGTATGTGTTCCGAAATAGGCAATGTTTCGGCGCCGGCCCGATATCTCTGCCGTGATGTGCCATTTGTTGCGTGATGTTGAATAAGCTGATCGATTAGATAACTGCGCCATCGAATCTGGGAATCGAAGGTCTGCCATTGTGGGTTGCCGCGTTGCTGCAGGATGAACGTGTTGATCAGTGCTGTATCCAATAAGAAACCGTATGCAATAGCTTTCCAGCCACCACGCCGCATTATGTGATCATATCCCATATAGCCGCGAAGCTGATCTCCAACGTCAACACTGCCCATCTCGTCATTGTACTCGACCGTTACAATAGGCAATTTGAGCTTCTTCGTATGCTTATCTTTAAACTCTTCTTTGATCGCTCTTTGTTGTGGCTTCGAGACGTTGGCTGGCCGCTTCCTGATTCGCTCTTCAATCTCGTTGCCCGTATGCACAGTTGATAACATGAGCACGAGGGCATTGTCTTTCCAGGCGATCTGGTTGATAAGGTTATCAGGCGTGGGATAAGCTGAAGCTTGCCCCAAGGCCATTGAAGCTTGCCTTTCGAGTCATCTGCTTTCCATTGTACGAGCTCTTTATCGATTCCAGAATTAGTCCGGGCCGTGCCGGTAGCGCCAACGCCACGCCGGCGGAGGGCAACAAAGAGGTTTGGCGAGGAAAAGAGGTTATCTAGAAACACGTGATAAGGTTGTTCCGGTAGCAGCTTGATCAATGCAGGCACAACGCTTTGGGTTGGATTGAGATAGATCTGATCATTGTTGCCGGGCTTCTTGCGTCTAATTGGCTCTGCAGCTGAGCCCATTGCCTGTTTTGGAAGGTGCCAAATCCACGATAGGAAGTAACCTCTTTGTGCTGAAGCCCATACTTTGTAACCCACGGGAACTGGCTTGCTTGGCACCCTTGTTGTCTGCTTAGATCGACCCGTGTAACGGATCATGCACTCATCAATTGCAATCATGCTTCCCGGGTTATATAAGTGAAGAGATATCTGTTGGATGTGACTGGACCAATCATTGACGTAATCGAAGTCCGTTGAAATGAGGTTATCTGGATCACATAGGCGAAGGTTCCGGAGAATCTGAGTAAAGCGATCGAACGTCATAAACTTGACAATCGGATGCGTTGGACGCTGAATACCTAGACGCGATGTCTTCCAATGGTCCTGTACTCTTCTTTCCCTGTGTAAACCTAGGTAAATCAGGATAGCAAGCCAGATATATACTTCATCGGGTGTAATTGGCGTCCAGCGAAGTCGTCTCGAGTGTGGTAATGGTGCTTGAGAGCGGGAAAATGGCTCCCTGTTGGTCCAAAGAACCCACTTTTCCACGAGATCAAGTGGTACAAAGGCTTCAAAAAGAGCCAATGCCGTAGTAGGAAGGTTACGGACCTCCGGGGCCCGGAACGGCACTTCAAGCGGCTCAAATTTGCTGCCGCGTGTGGGCAGCGGCGGCAGTGCTGGGCGGCATGTATTATCGCTCGGGTGCTCACATAAGCTATTGTCGATACGAATAAGGAGCTCATCATCAAATTGGTTGGTCACGGCCACGGGGCGAGGAGAATCCATAAGGATCGCGAGAATTACCCGTGCCACGCCCCACCTTTATTTGGAACTCGCGAGCTCGCACCACCTAAAGGTGGTGCTCACCACCGGTATAACCACACCACCGATATAACCATTTTTTCCACCCCTTGATCTAAAACCGCTTCAGCCAGCGTTTACCACCCTCGGAATCGCACACCTCCGCTCTCTCCAGTCTTTCCGATGCCCTCCATTTGCGTGCCTCTTTTGCCGTTTCTCAAAGCATCTCTTTCGAGCGTTTCGCGCCTTCTTCTCCGCATCCTCGATCACCTTCCTCGCCTTCGCAACCTGGTCTTCCTCCTTTGCTTCACCATTTGCCGCCCTTCTGCTACCGACAACACCCCTCCTGATTGCAGTTGCACGTTCTTCATAGCCCTGCGCTGTTGTTGTGTCCGCTCCGCCATTCTAGTCCGGCCCAGATCTCTTTTTGTTTGCACAAGCTCCGCGGCCAAAGATAGAGATCCACGGATGAATCGATTCAGATCGCGAGCGAAGCCAGAATCCAGGCTCTCATCGTGTTCTATTCGATCTCCCAGTTCGTCCGCAACCTTGTTGATCTGACGTAAAGTCAATGGCGTCTCGAAAGGCGAGGAGTAGGGCCCTGAATGGGGCGGGGGCGAGGGTGTTTTCTTCGCTTGTCGAGCTTCCAGAACACGAAGCACCACTTGTGGATCAAAGGGAAACACTCCTGTCTTTCGAAAAGCGGAACGGATTGTATCTATCTTGAAAGCCTTCAATCGCACATCTTGAATGAACGAGAGAAACTCAAGCTTTGTGATGTTGACGAGGCCATCTCGAACCATGACATCTAAAGCCTTGGCGTGATAGTGCTTTAGGGGCTGGAAAACGACAACGTCCAAAGGCTGAAGTACATGGGTGAGATTAGGTGGCATGCCAAAGGGGATGATGCCTTTCTCGTCACAATACTGAATGAATTGCCTGGTGTGATGAGAGCCATGGCCGTCGAGGAGCAGCAAACGTCTCGAGCTTTTGGAGCTTTTCGCAGAGTGCTTGTCGAAATGCTGAAGCCATTCCAAGCTGATCGTATCGTTTGAGTAACCGGTGGGAGTAGGCCGGATGACTGTGTCATGATCAAGCTCGGGAATCTGATACCATGAAGCCATGTGCATCTGCGCGGCGAGTATCAGAAACGCGGGAATGACTTCTCCATTCGCCGAGATGGCTTCAATAGCGGTCGCAGACTCCCTGTTCTCTGGTATGCCAAAGTAATGCGCTCTCGCTCGTTTTGTCACAATCAGCTGGTCTTTACCGACCCCGATGCGAAAGCCGGTCTCGTCCATGTTCCAGATGTCCTCGGGGGGGATGCCATTCTCTTGAACGACTTGCTGCAAAGCCTGGAAGTATTGATGAACACGCGTCAGGTCTTCAGAGGCCTGCCGCTCTGCCTGGAGCTTCCTCTGACGTCTTTTTAGATAGCCATGACGCTTGAGGAATCGAGAAGTCCAGTTTGGCCCCACGACGGGGGCTTCACTTCTGCCGAAACGCTCACGCAAGATACAATTTGCGGCGTCCGTGACGAACTCGGCCCGAACTGCAAGGTTAATGGCATCTAGACGATCGATGTAGCGACACAACGCAGCCTCTTCAGGCCGCGATAGCTTCGTGTTGCTGGCCTTTTGGCCGGTTTTGGCGGGACGGCCTTGCAGACGGTATCGCAATCTGCCACGTGGCACTCCAAATTCTCGCGCGACATTTGCCACTTTCGCACAGGGATACTTCTCAATGTACTCAACAGCGCTTTGTACTTTTGCCTCCATCTTCTCAAGAGCATAGATCACGGGTTGAGTGGGAGAGAAGCATTACAAGATCAAGGGGTGGAAAAAATGGTTATACCGGTGGTGAGCACCACCTTTAGGTGGTGCGAGCTCGCGAGTTCCAAATAAAGGTGGGGCGTGGCACGGGTAATTGTCTGGTGTTTTACTAGTAAATGTTTTGACGTGTCCTCTACGTACCCCGAGGTCACGAGACTGGTACAGGGGTGATGTGGGGCAAAAGAGTTTTTGCAGTCTTCGCGCATCCCGAGGGATACTCGTGCCCGCCCCCACTTGAAGGGATTCGCTTTGCCACAAAGCGAATCCCTTCAAGTGGGGGCGGGCACGATAGCCAAGGAGGTAGTAGTAGTAGTAGTAGTAGTAGTATTGATTACCGTCTGGGACATCCCTATAAGGGCAAAAGACGTGCTAGGCTAGAGAAGACTAGATACATAGAATATCCCGAGTACCTGGACTAAGGACCGTGTGTAGCACCTAACCACTCCATCTAGCAATTCTGAGGCTCTGAGGCCGGTCGGAAATTCGGGCCCTTCCCGTCAGCGGGTTCCAGGCACGGCAGTGAAGCCGTAATAGTAGTCAGTCTTTGGCCGAGGCCGGGTGACTGAGAAAGCCCACGAAGTCATGGGCCGGCCGCAAGCCCCCTCGAGGAGGGCCTACGGGGCAGAAAGAAAAAGAAAAGAAAAAGGAAGCAGAGAGTGTAGCAATGTTAGTCGGGGATTCGCCCCGATGGCGATTGTCTTCTCCCGCAGGAGCGTTCGATCCGGGGCCACTTCGTGGTTATGACAGTCGGCGAAGTCCCCGTGCCTGCTCCTCGTAGCAAGCAGGTGGTGGAGGTGTTGTCGATTGGTGTGCAGCTCCGGGGGACACCCGGGTGAGGCCTTGAGCTCTAGGCTCTTGTAGCTCCTCGGGGCCCCGCGGCCCACCAGTCCAGAGGAAGTCGTGGCCGCTAGGCGGCAGAAAGGCCGCAAGGCGGCAAGTTCGAGCCGCGAGACGGCAGAAGGAGGCAGAGCCGCAAGGCGGCAGAAGGCGAGGCCAGCCAGTAAAGGCGGCAGAGGGTGCGAGGCAGCGCGAGGCGTGCCAGGAAGGGCGAGAAGAAGTTGGGCCGCGAGGCGGCAGAAGAGGTCGGGGCCGCGAGGCGGCAGAAGTCGAGGCCAGCCAGTAAAGGCGGCAGAAGAAGGCGATGCCGCGAGGCGGCAGAAGGCGAGGCAGCGCGAGGCATGCCGTTATTCGAGACCAGCTTCCCAAGAGGAGACGAACTCTCCAAAGTCTGCCTTTTGGTGCTTGCTAGAGCCCCGTTAGGGCTAGAGAGGCAGAAGCATGGTCGGGTGACCTGAAAATAATTATCCACTAACAGGCTGCTAACAGCCCGCAGAAGAGAAGAATTTTTACAGGGGAGAGTTGGATAGCCAAGGAGGTGGGAGCTTGCGAATTCCAAATAAAGTGGGGCGTGGCACGGGTACACGCTTTTTCCGCCCAACTTAGTGCTTCGCACTAAGTTGGCTGACTACTTTTTGGTGGGAATTTTTTTCAATTGCGCTACCCAAAGGGGGCTTCCTAGGTACTCGTTGGCCCTTTACTAGGGACCTCTTCTTAATGACCGAACACCGAACAGATCCGAGAGAACCGCAACCCGATAAACTCACTTCCAACACCCACCATGGGTGGGTTTCTTCGATGCCAGCCAACTCTTCGTTCTCTATCTCGTTACTATTGTGTCGACCTTTTTTGCAGAGAATCGTTGGCTAGGCCTGCGCAGTCCTTGGACGCCACGTCCAACATCCGTTGAGAAGAAGCCGGCGAAGACTCCCAGGGCGTTCCATGTCCGCGGTGTCCCACGAGAATGGGATTCTTGCCGCCTGTAGAACTTCCTGAAAGAAGGCGACTTGGTTCCGAGTCGGACTTCCGACAAGTCAAATCACTCGCACAAGAGATCCATGGCCGCTCGTCGTTGGGTACGGGGGCGTTGTTTGAAGCTGATTGGGCTGCTACTGCTGCTGGTTCAAGCCGACAGGCTGCCGCTGTTCGACCTTGGGCTCTATCTGGCAGTTGGCGGTCGACGTGGCCGTGTTGGTGTTAAAGTGGAAGCGTGCTGCCTTGCGAAGGCGGAGGAAGGCAAGAAGGGTCCAGACAAATGTCACAATGTGAAGGACCCTAGAGCAGTGTCAACTTATCAAGTAACGTACGTTTCGTCATGTCTTGGACCAGAGACACAGCCTCTTCTGGCCGGTCCTGCCAGCAAACATGAGGAGTACCTCAACGGAGGGCAGCAGAAGAACTTACCACACCAAGGCGCCTAGTCCCGCAACGGCCGAAATCATGTGGCGGTTGATCTGGAGCGGAATAGCCCTATTGACGAGGCAATTGTTCAAGTTGAAGTTGCCGCTGTTGTAGACGCACCCGCTGTTGGGCCAGTTGTAAGCAGGCATGTCAGGGACGTTGCCAAGCAAGGCGCGCATCGCCGCCACGGCAGCAAACGTGGCGAGCCAGAGGACAACGAGGACGGCGTCGAGGGCCAGCACGGCTACGATGCGATACGCGGCGTGGCAGCTCGGGACCTTTTCCGTGACCAAGGCGTAAGCGACGACGATACAGGTGATGATGGGCTGGAGACGCGGAGTATTAGTTTCGAGTTTGACGCCTACCAAGCGTGCCGATGGCCATTTTGACCAGAGGCTGGTTCATAAAGATCTTGTTGCACGACGTACCATTGCCAGAGCGAGCCCGAGTTCGTTGAAGTACAGGCCAGAGGCGACGACGCTAGCGAGAGCGAGTACGATGAGAGCGAGGACGGCCTGCGCGATGCGGAGAGCGAACAACAAGGTTGGTGATGCGAGGACATGGCCACTGACGGGTTCCTGGCTAGGCTGCTCCATTATGGATGGCTTGGGCTTTGGTTCTGATATCGATGTCTCCGCCGTCTAGGCAATAGGTAGGTTGGGTCTGGTTGATGACGGCTCGGGTGAGAGAGGTAGAACTCGCACCCTCCATTCCAAGCTCTATCCTCTCGGTATTACAGCGAGCGCCTTACATATACCTTTCTGCCTCGCCCGGGCTGCGATATAGTCTGCCTACGTGTATGGCGCTCACCACGGGCTAGAGCGGTCTACTGCCTTGCCCGTCAAATACAAAATACGTTATATTCCAAGAAATCATGAGCCAATCTGGAGCGGAGACACGCCGTGGCTGTGGCTTCTCAGCGAGGATCCTCGACGACTGCGTTAGCGTCAATAGCCAGTCGGCCCATGTTCTAGGCCCACGATGCCCAATTCCTTCCTTGTGTGTGTGAAAGTATGGGTATTAGACTGTAGCCTTGTTGACATGTCGGCAGATGTCAAGGCGGGGCTTCTAGACTGCCGTCCAGCTCTTTGTTCATCTCTGAACGGCTGATAGATGCGTGTTTCAGAGATGTGATGGTTCTCGATGTCACCGGATACACGGCCATGTGGCGTGAATCGAGTGGGCCTAGAACAAGTGGTTGGAGCGCAATCAGTCATGATTGGCTTCCCCGCTTGATAGATATTGAGGGAAGGAGACGTGTTATTACCCGTTGGCATGTTCCTTCGTACGTCCCTCCGTAAGCCAATGGGGCCCCTACCCCTAAGTTGGCGCCAAAACCTCTGGTCAGTCAATAGGTTGGAAAGCCGACCTGCTGTGTGGTCTGTGTGAAGTCTTGCAGCCAGCTGAACAGCCTAACGATTCCTGTGGAGCTGAGGCTCCAATACCTTAGCAAACGTACGATCGTAGGGACCCATCGCCTTAGACCACTACCCACTCGCCACCTCACCATGCTTATTACCTGAAGAACAAGGAATGATCTTGCAGGAAAAGAGGCCTCCCAACGAGACTTCCCGGGCCATGCCCCACTGTATTTAGAACTCGCGAGCTTGCACCACCCCTGTAAACACAACTCTCCCCTGTAAAAATTCTTCTCTTCTGCGGGCTGTTAGCAGCCTGTTAGTGATGAAGAAATTTTCAGGCCACCCGACCATGCTTCTGCCTCTCTAGCCCTAACGGGGCTCTAGCAGGCACCAAAGGCAGACTTTGGAGAGTTCGTCTCCTCTTGGGAAGCTGGTCTCGAATAACGGCACGCATCGCGCTGCCTCGCCTTCTGCCGCCTCGCGGCATCGCCTTCTTCTGCCGCCTTTACTGGCTGGCCTCGACTTCTGCCGCCTCGCGGCCCTGACTTCTGCTGCCACCTCGCGGCCCCGACCTCTTCTGCCGCCCCGCGGCCCGACTTCTTCTCGCCCTCCTGGCACGCCTCGCGCTGCCTTGCACCCTCTGCCGCCTTTACTGGCTGGCCTCGCCTTCTGCCGCCTTGCGGCCCTGACTCCTTCTGCCGTCTCGCGGCCCCGACCTCTGCCGCCTAGCGGCCACGACTTCCTCTGGACTGGTGGGCCGCGGGGGCCCCGAGGAGCTACAAGAGCCTAGAGCTCAAGGCCTCACCCGGGTGTCCCCCGGAGCTGCACACCAATCGACAACACCTCCACCACCTGCTTGCTACGAGGAGCAGGCACGGGGACTTCGCCGACTGTCATGACCACGAAGTGGTCCCGGATCGAACGCTCCTGCGGGAGAAGACAATCGCCATCGGGGCGAACCCCCGACTAACATTGCTACACTCTCTGCTTCCTTTTTCCCTTCTTTTTCTTTCTGCCCCGTAGGCCCTCCTCGAGGGGGCTTGCGGCCGGCCCATGACTTCGTGGGCTTTCTCAGTCACCCGGCCTCGGCCAAAGACTGACTACTATTACGGCTTCACTGCCGTGCCTGGAACCCGCTGACGGGGAAGGGCCCGAATTTCCGACCGGCCTCAGAGCCTCAGAATTGCTAGATGGAGTGGTTAGGTGCTACACACGGTCCTTAGTCCAGGTACTCGGGATATTCTATGTATCTAGTCTTCTCTAGCCTAGCACGTCTTTTGCCCTTATAGGGATGTCCCAGACGGTAATCAATACTACTACTACTACTACCACCCCTGTAAACAACTCTCCTGTAAAAAAATTTCTCTTCTGCGGGCTGTTAGCAGCCTGTTAGCGGAGAAGAATTTTTCAGGCCACCCGACCATGCTTCTGCCTCTCTAGCCCTAACGGGGCTCTAGCATGCACCAAAGGCAGACTTTGGAGAGTTCATCTCCTCTTGGGAAGAAGCTGGTCTCGAATAACGGCATGCCTCGCGCTGCCTCGCCTTCTGCCGCCTCGCCCGCCATCATTTCAAGTATTTTGTCCAGTCTCTAGGGTCCGCTGTCGTCATACACGGCTTTGCCATCTGCTTCCAGTCGGACATCAACCGTAGTAGGCCTTGCCATGCATATTGTGTTGACTAGCGCTGTACTACACCGCGCCACCCGCCGCCACCAAAAGTCTTCCCCTTGTTCTCCGTATAAGTACTTCAATAAAGGACCTATAGAGGTACTAATAGCTACGAAGTGAGGTGAGATTGATGCTCTGTTAATGCGCTGTAATCGAGTGCGCTTTACGGAGTACCCCGTATGGAGTAAATAAAGGCACTGTCCTGACGAAGTAGTCGAGGGAACTGAAATTACGTGGCTGCGGCGTAGTGCGGCGCTACGGGATGTCGCGAAGACCATTGCGCCACGCAGGCAAAAGTGGAACGCGCGCTCCGACAGGTGCGCTGCAATTGACACATATAACTGACAACCGCGTTTTCCGACACACCCCCTCAGGGATCGCGGCTCCGCCGGGATTCCTAGACCTAAGCCCACGACGCGGGAGTCGAACACCAAGCACCGCGCCCATTACCCAGGGAAATCCAAGAGAGAGAGGGGTACACGGATATCTACGGGTATTACCCCGCAACGCGCAGTCACCGGAAGTTGCAGGGGGTAGTTTGCCACCCCCTCCCGGGCTCATAACTGTCGCGAAGACCATTGCGCCACGCAGGCAAAAGTGGAACGCGCGCTCCGACAGGTGCGCTGCAATTGACACATATAACTGACAACCGCGTTTTCCGACACGGGAAAGTTGAGTCCCAAGAAACAATTTCTCGCGAAGGAGAGATCAAAAGTGGGCATAAAGTGAATAAAGGGACTTTTCGTAGGTAGATTCTCAGATGATGTGATAGTCGGTGATGTGCATGTGTTTTTTTTTTCTGTCCAGTTGCCCTGTATCCGTCTAGCCCTCCCCTTTTATATCCCTCTGTGCCTTCCCTATGTTCATATCCCGTGTTTAGGTATAATATACATTCTATCAGGAAGAGGGCACTCCTTGCCTCTCACTGAAGGCCGCGTAAGCCATCTACGTCAGCACATTCAGCTCGATCTCCCGATCAATAGCTTTCCAAGCTATTAGGTCGATAGTTCAATCTCTTGAGGTCCCGAGCCAGTAAAAGATATACCGGACTCCTTGGAGGATCCCGATCGAATAGGAGATCCTCCGGACCCCTCAGTGGTCTAGGAAGAAGAAACAATAGTCTGCAGACTTCCCTTCTTACCTGGTTTCAAGCTGTATTACCTAGAGAGACCTGGGGACCTCAACTCGTTCGGACCTTCTTCTCGACACTGTGAAAGGCTGGCCCGGAGTTTATTCAACAAGCAGGTGCCTAGGTGTTGTCTATCTAGAGCTAAGGAGGAAAAGAAGCTGAACTCGAGGCGTAGCCTCGAGTGCGAGCTTATATTGCCCTTCTCGGAATGTTCTCGCAGCTTCTGGGTCCGCGGGCGGCCGGTGTTGCCACCGGAGCACGACCCACCGGACCCGGTACAACCGGGTCCACCAGCCGGGCACAGCCCGTGACATTACCCCCCTTGTCCCCTCCGACCAGGTCGGCGTCTGCGGGGTTCTTGCGTTCCTGCCAGCGTCTCGTACCTCTCCCTAGGGCCATCATTGGTCTTGATTGGCCCGTACTTGTCCTCGAATGCCTTCATCGCAATTGTTCCTTGCAACCACTCAACTGGCTCCCAAGTCGGCTCTGCGTAGCCCGTCCATCGCACTAGTGCTTGCCTGAATTCCCCTCGTCCGCGCTTCTTCCATCTCGCGCAGAGGATCTCGTCGACATCCCACAGATCCGTGCCGGACTCATCTTGTACCGGTGGTGGCTGTGCGTCATCTACCTTTGGCCAGGAGCCGGATCTTGATGCGCCCGCCGCAAAGGTCAACATGAAATCGCGGGTAAATTGAGCCACGAACATCGAGCTCAACAACGTGCGAACTAATTACCTTCGTGACTGTGTACTTGTGATGCAGCCAGTCGAGCTTCTTGCACGGTCGTGGCGATCTGTAGTTTGCCATCGAGAGCCACACCTTGTCACCAACTTCAAATCGCTCCGCAGGCTGTCGCTTTGCGTTGGCAGCCTCTTCTTGTTGTTGCTGTGAGGAGGCCATCACTGCTTGCATGTACTCATTGACCTCCTGCAGGCGACTGAGTAGGCTATCAGCTCTGCTTTCCTCTCTATGCCTCGGTGGCTCTTCCGATTCCTCGACGCTGATGGGATCGACGTGGTAACCATGCTCAGCGAAAAAGGGCTGATCTTGGTCGCTGCGGATTCACGATTGTTGAGTGCCAGCTGCGCGGCAGGAGCAGTTCTCCCCAGTCGTCCTGCACGTACGACACGTAGGCTCTCAGGTAGGCCTCGATCTCCTGGTTCATTCTCTCTGGCCCTCCGTCCGTCTGAGGATGATAGGCCGTGCTCAATTTCTGCGTGACACCTGCAAGACGGCAGAACCTCTTCCAGAACCTACTTAGCCAGTTGCTCCCGCGGTCGCTGACGATGGACCGTGGCATTCCGTGAAATCGGTAATGACACTGGAGAAACGGTTTGCACACTGCTCAGCTTCCATGTTGTCCATCACCTCGAGGGTCACAGCCTTTGTCAGTCTGTCCACAATCACCCACAGGTACCTTGCCTTGCTCGGTCCAGTAGGCGGCAGATCTGTGATGAAGTCCATGGACAAATGGCTTCGGGGTCGATCTGGAATCGGCAGAGGCTTGAGAAATCCCTTTCGACTGGCGCCAGATGTGCTCTGCCGCAGGTGTCGCAATTGGCTACGTACCGGCGAACCAGCTGGGACTGCCCAGGCCAGTAGAATCGCCGAGCCACAATAGCCAGCGTACCTTCCTGCCGGGATGACCGGTCGCAACAGAGTCATGCGACTGCTGCACAATGCGGGTTCTCAACTGGTCTTTCTCAGCTTCCTCCTGGTTACCCTCCTCTCCGGATCCACCCGGCACCCAAATACGGTCTCTGAATGTCAGCCTTTTGCCTGCGTCGATCGCACATTCTGAAATCTGGATCTTCAGGCCCAGCGAGGGCGGGAAGGCACGCTCGCGATCGCGGACTGCCTTATAGGCTGCCCGGAATATCGAGTCCTTCGCCACCGTTTCGTCCCAGAGTTGCTGCAGGTCCGCTACCTCGAAGACCTTCATCTTCGGCAGGGTGGATGCCTCTGAACAGTCAGAACTCATCGCGTTGATACATGCTCTTGTCGATGATGGAATGGCACTATCCGGTATCAACTGTATCATTCTTCCTTGTTCCCGCTCGTCGTCAATGCCCTGTGGCTTGTCTTGTTCACGGCGGGACAACGCATCAGGCACGACAGCCTCGCTTCCCGGTCGATACTCGAGCTTGAAGTCGAACTGGGACAATTCGGCTGCCCAACGGCTCTGCCGTTCCGTGAGCTTCTGGCGTGTCATGAAATACTCAGGTTGCGGTGATCGGTAAGGATTGTAAATGGGCCGCAGCTCCTAAGTTCGGCGTTCCAGTTGTCGAGACATCTCATGATGGCAAGCATCTCCTTGTCGTGAATGGGATAGTTGTACTCCGCTGGCGAAAGTCGCTTCGAGAAGAAGGCGCATGCGTGTCGACGTCCATCTGGGCCTTCCTGCGACAGGACGCCTCCCAATGCGTAGCCTGAGCAATCCGTCTCCAAAAAGGTCGGGAGGCTCGGGTCCCACTGCTTGAGCACCGGTGACTCGCAAAATCGTCGCTTCAGCTCCTGAAACGCCTCGTTCTCCGCTCGTCCCCAATGAAAGGCAGTTCCTTTCTTAAGCAGGGCATCCAGAGACTGCGTGATCTTGGCATAGTCGGGGATGAAGATCCGGTAATAGTTGGCGAAGCCCAAGCCTGCGTTGACGATGAACCCAAGGTATTTGACCTCTTGTACCGAAAACTCGCACTTCGCTGGGTCTAGGTGCAGCCCAGCGTCGGCGAGTGCTTGGAGAACTCGTCGCACCTTAGCCTCATGATCCGCCTTCGAACCGCTCGAGTAGATCAGTACATCATCCAGGTACGCTGTGACAAAGTCGTCCAGCCATTCGCGCAATACACTGTTCATGTATCGTTGGAATGATGCCGGGGCGCCGCTCAGGCCGAAAGGGCACACGAGCCACTCGTAGAGCCCAAACCTCGTGCGAAATGCAGTCTTTCCCTCATGTCCCGGAGCCATGCGGATCTTATGGAAAGCGGCCACCACGTCCAACTTGGTGAACCACTTAGCCTTGGCCAGATTCTGCAGGGTCTCCGCGATGAGGGCAGTGGGTATCGGTCGCGCTTGGTGATTGCATTCAGCGCTCGGTAGTCGCAACAAAATCGCAGCCCTCCATTCGGCTTCCGCACGAACAGCACCGGCGCGGCAGCCGCTGAGCTACTCGCTCGGATGAATCCTCTGTCCAGCAGGTCTTTCAGGGTCTTTCGCAAGACCAACAGCTCTTCTCGTGACATGTTGTAGAGTGGGCCCCACGGAAGGGGTGGCTCGTTGCCGTTCTTGTCAGGCTGCAGGTTGACTTCATGATCCACACCCGGTCGATGTGGCGGCAGCTTCATTGCCTCTTCTGGTGAGAATAGGTCGCGGAATTCTTTCAGCACTTCTGCCGGGACCTTCTCGCTCGGATCGACTGGCGGCTTCGGCTGAAGCGCCCTCTATATCCGACAAACTGATTGCATGAATCGAGATCGCGTTGCACTTCTTGCGTCTCTTTGCGCGTCGACACTCCGCCGTGAATACGGCTGCCGACACGAGTCTTGCGCTTCGAATCGCGCGTATCTTGGCGGGCTCTTCCTGCCCAATGAGGCGTATCGTCACACCTGCCCTCCCATGGTACATTCGCTGCTTGGCAGCATCGTACACGACGTGATTTCTCTCCATCAAGGCCGGCCGAGGAACATGTCCTGGCCCAGGCTTGGGATCACGTATGCAAAGACACGTTCGTCAAATCCAGCTGTCTCGACCACAACAGCCACGACCCCTGGGGATATGACACTCTTCGCTGACTCTGAGAATCCCCCAATTTCTCGTGGTTTCGAGTCGACGAAGGGTATCCGCAGCTTCCGAACAAGGGCTTCGTCGATCACGGCATAGCAGTCACATCCACAGTCGACAAGGGCGCGTATTCGATAGCCTCGGTTTACCCGCGCGTTGACTAATACAGTCCGACTATTCATTCGTGGCTTGAACGCTTCCCAGTCCCGGATGTCTGCCTTTGCAGGCCCCGGCGCCCGCTTTCGCCCCGGGGCTAGTCTTTTCCGCCGACTCGTCCTCACTGGATGCTGCGGTTGATTCCGAATCATCTGCGGCATCGGGCTTCTTCATGCGCGCAGCTTTAGGTCGCTGTTGCTTCCTTCGCCAGGAAAGACCACCTGGGCTGGGCAGTCCACGATAAGATGATCCGTCCGACCACAGCGATAGCAGCGGCGCTCATCCTTCGGCTTCTTATCGACATGTCGACGACCCTTCGACTCGTGGCCAATACGGTTGATGTCCGTCATCTTAACATCTCCGTCGGGGTCCTCCGGTTCCTCCTTGGGTCGTTGCCTTGGTAGCTGTTGAGGCGTCCGCTCAGTCGACGTCGGCTGCCTACCGGGTTTCAGTCTCTCCAATCTGCCCGCAATTTCCTGAACTCTCGCAAGCCATCCCTGGTAGTCGTCGGGTAGGACGGCTGTGACCAAACTCTCTTGGAGGCGTGCATTTATTGCGTTCTCTAGAAATACGATCTTTGCACTGTCCGGCCAGTCTGCTCCCCCGGCTTCAGCTAATGCCTGTTCGAATCGGGAAGGAAGGACGCGAGAGTTGGTCTTCGCGCTGCCGCATAGTTCTCAGCGTGGCAGCAGCGCAGGATTGGATGTTGCTGTCCTGGTAGGTTCGGTCGAGGTATCGCATGAACTCTTGGGGTCGTAGCTACCCCAGGGCCTCCGCGGCGTAAAGGTAGCGACCACTTGCTGTGGTCGCTCGTCCAAACATGAGTTGATGAGGTACCAAAGTTCGCGATTTCCACTGTAGTAGTGTGCATCAAGGTCCAGCTTGTCTCGCATCTGCCTGGCCCAGGAGGAGTAGCTCTTCCGTGAGCCGTCATACTTGGGTGGGTTGGGCAACGGTTTCCGCATTCCAGTACCGCAGGTTTTGGGAGGGCGTGCCCAAGCCAGGCGTGCTCTCGCCCAATCCTCGTGCCACTGGCGGCGATTGCAAGTCGGCGCTCTGCGGCTGCGCTCGCCCGAGTTGCTCCATCAGCAAGGAAAGTTGGTCCTGTAGAGGGCTGAGAGTCGCATTGACCGCTTCTTGAATGCGTTGGTCAATCCATTGCTGCTGGAGACTTGGGCTCTCACTCTGCTGGTCCATCCTGACGAGCAGTCTGCAGCTTGCGGTATTTAGAAGGAGCTCTAGATATGTGAAAGGCTGGCCCGGAGTTTATTCAACAAGCAGGTGCCTAGGTGTTGTCTATCTAGAGCTAAGGAGGAAGAAGCTGAACTCGAGGCGTAGCCTCGAGTGCGAGCTTATATTACCCTTCTCGGAATGTTCTCGCAGCTTCTGGGTCCGCGGGCCGGCCGGTGTTGCCACCGGAGCACGACCCACCGGACCCGGTACAACCGGGTCCACCAGCCAGGCACAGCCCGTGACATTACCCCTTGTCCCTCCGACCAGGTCGGCGTCTGCGGGTTCTTGCGTTCCTGCCAGCGTCTCGTACCTCTCCCTAGGGCCATCATTGGTCTTGATTGGCCCGTACTTGTCCTCGAATGCCTTCATCGCAATTGTTCCTTGCAACCACTCAACTGGCTCCCAAGTCGGCTCTGCGTAGCCCGTCCATCGCACTAGTGCTTGCCTGAATTCCCCTCGTCCCCGCTTCTTCCATCTCGCGCAGAGAATCTCGTCGACATCCCACAGATTCGTGCCGGACTCATCTTGTACCGGTGGTGGCTGTGCGTCATCTACCTTTGGCCAGGAGCCGGATCTTGATGCGCCCGCCGCAAAGGTCAACATGAAATCGCGGGTAAATTGAGCCACGAACATCGAGCTCAACAACGTGCGAACTAATTACCTTCGTGACTGTGTACTTGTGATGCAGCCAGTCGAGCTTCTTGCACGGTCGTGGCGATCTGTAGTTTGCCATCGAGAGCCACACCTTGTCACCAACTTCAAATCGCTCCGCAGGCTGTCGCTTTGCGTTGGCAGCCTCTTCTTGTTGTTGCTGTGAGGAGGCCATCACTGCTTGCATGTACTCATTGACCTCCTGCAGGCGACTGAGTAGGCTATCAGCTCTGCTTTCCTCTCTATGCCTCGGTGGCTCTTCCGATTCCTCGACGCTGATGGGATCGACGTGGTAACCATGCTCAGCGAAAAAGGGGCTGATCTTGGTCGCTGCGGATTCACGATTGTTGAGTGCCAGCTGCGCGGCAGAGCAGTTCTCCCCAGTCGTCCTGCACGTACGACACGTAGGCTCTCAGGTAGGCCTCGATCTCCTGGTTCATTCTCTCTGGCCCTCCGTCCGTCTGAGGATGATAGGCCGTGCTCAATTTCTGCGTGACACCTGCAAGACGGCAGAACCTCTTCCAGAACCTACTTAGCCAGTTGCTCCCGGTCGCTGACGATGGACCGTGGCATTCCGTGAAATCGGTAATGACACTGGAGAAACGGTTTGCACACTGCTCAGCTTCCATGTTGTCCATCACCTCGAGGGTCACAGCCTTTGTCAGTCTGTCCACAATCACCCACAGGTACCTTGCCTTGCTCGGTCCAGTAGGCGGCAGATCTGTGATGAAGTCCATGGACAAATGGCTTCGGGGTCGATCTGGAATCGGCAGAGGCTTGAAATCCCCTTTTCGACTGGCGCCAGATGTGTGCTCTGCCGCAGGTGTCGCAATTGGCTACGTACCGGCGAACCAGCTGGGACTGCCCAGGCCAGTAGAATCGCCGAGCCACAATAGCCAGCGTACCTTCCTGCCGGGATGACCGGTCGCAACAGAGTCATGCGACTGCTGCACAATGCGGGTTCTCAACTGGTCTTTCTCAGCTTCCTCCTGGTTACCCTCCTCTCCGGATCCACCCGGCACCCAAATACGGTCTCTGAATGTCAGCCTTTTGCCTGCGTCGATCGCACATTCTGAAATCTGGATCTTCAGGCCCAGCGAGGGCGGGAAGGCACGCTCGCGATCGCGGACTGCCTTATAGGCTGCCCGGAATATCGAGTCCTTCGCCACCGTTTCGTCCCAGAGTTGCTGCAGGTCCGCTACCTCGAAGACCTTCATCTTCGGCAGGGTGGATGCCTCTGAACAGTCAGAACTCATCGCGTTGATACATGCTCTTGTCGATGATGGAATGGCACTATCCGGTATCAACTGTATCATTCTTCCTTGTTCCCGCTCGTCGTCAATGCCCTGTGGCTTGTCTTGTTCACGGCGGGACAACGCATCAGGCACGACAGCCTCGCTTCCCGGTCGATACTCGAGCTTGAAGTCGAACTGGGACAATTCGGCTGCCCAACGGCTCTGCCGTTCCGTGAGCTTCTGGCGTGTCATGAAATACTCAGGTTGCGGTGATCGGTAAGGATTGTAAATGGGCCGCAGCTCCTAAGTTCGGCGTTCCAGTTGTCGAGACATCTCATGATGGCAAGCATCTCCTTGTCGTGAATGGGATAGTTGTACTCCGCTGGCGAAAGTCGCTTCGAGAAGAAGGCGCATGCGTGTCGACGTCCATCTGGGCCTTCCTGCGACAGGACGCCTCCCAATGCGTAGCCTGAGCAATCCGTCTCCAAAAAGGTCGGGAGGCTCGGGTCCCACTGCTTGAGCACCGGTGACTCGCAAAATCGTCGCTTCAGCTCCTGAAACGCCTCGTTCTCCGCTCGTCCCCAATGAAAGGCAGTTCCTTTCTTAAGCAGGGCATCCAGAGACTGCGTGATCTTGGCATAGTCGGGGATGAAGATCCGGTAATAGTTGGCGAAGCCCAGAAAGCTTCTGACACCCTTCACCGTGGTCGGGCCTCCCATTCGCGGATGGCGCGCTGCTTTTCGGGGTCGCAGGCGATTCCTTTCCTGCGTTGACGATGAACCCAAGGTATTTGACCTCTTGTACCGAAAACTCGCACTTCGCTGGGTCTAGGTGCAGCCCAGCGTCGGCGAGTGCTTGGAGAACTCGTCGCACCTTAGCCTCATGATCCGCCTTCGAACCGCTCGAGTAGATCAGTACATCATCCAGGTACGCTGTGACAAAGTCGTCCAGCCATTCGCGCAATACACTGTTCATGTATCGTTGGAATGATGCCGGGGCGCCGCTCAGGCCGAAAGGGCACACGAGCCACTCGTAGAGCCCAAACCTCGTGCGAAATGCAGTCTTTCCCTCATGTCCCGGAGCCATGCGGATCTTATGGAAAGCGGCCACCACGTCCAACTTGGTGAACCACTTAGCCTTGGCCAGATTCTGCAGGGTCTCCGCGATGAGGGCAGTGGGTATCGGTCGCGCTTGGTGATTGCATTCAGCGCTCGGTAGTCGCAACAAAATCGCAGCCCTCCATTCGGCTTCCGCACGAACAGCACCGGCGCGGCAGCCGCTGAGCTACTCGCTCGGATGAATCCTCTGTCCAGCAGGTCTTTCAGGGTCTTTCGCAAGACCAACAGCTCTTCTCGTGACATGTTGTAGAGTGGGCCCCACGGAAGGGGTGGCTCGTTGCCGTTCTTGTCAGGCTGCAGGTTGACTTCATGATCCACACCCGGTCGATGTGGCGGCAGCTTCATTGCCTCTCCTGGTGAGAATAGGTCGCGGAATTCTTTCAGCACTTCTGCCGGGACCTTCTCGCTCGGATCGACTGGCGGCTTCGGCTGAAGCGCCCTCTATATCCGACAAACTGATTGCATGAATCGAGATCGCGTTGCACTTCTTGCGTCTCTTTGCGCGTCGACATTCCGCCGTGAATACGGCTGCCGACACGAGTCTTGCGCTTCGAATCGCGCGTATCTTGGCGGGCTCTTCCTGCCCAATGAGGCGTATCGTCACACCTGCCCTCCCATGGTACATTCGCTGCTTGGCAGCATCGTACACGACGTGATTTCTCTCCATCCAAGGCCGGCCGAGGAACATGTCCTGGCCCAGGCTTGGGATCACGTATGCAAAGACACGTTCGTCAAATCCAGCTGTCTCGACCACAACAGCCACGACCCTGGGGATATGACACTCTTCGCTGACTCTGAGAATCCCCAATTTCTCGTGGTTTCGAGTCGACGAAGGGTATCCGCAGCTTCCGAACAAGGGCTTCGTCGATCACGGCATAGCAGTCACATCCACAGTCGACAAGGGCGCGTATTCGATAGCCTCGGTTTACCCGCGCGTTGACTAATACAGTCCGACTATTCATTCGTGGCTTGAACGCTTCCCAGTCCCGGATGTCTGCCTTTGCAGGCCCCGGCGCCCGCTTTCGCCCGGGGCTAGTCTTTTCCGCCGACTCGTCCTCACTGGATGCTGCGGTTGATTCCGAATCATCTGCGGCATCGGGCTTCTTCATGCGCGCAGCTTTAGGTCGCTGTTGCTTCCCTTCGCCAGGAAAGACCACCTGGGCTGGGCAGTCCACGATAAGATGATCCGTCCGACCACAGCGATAGCAGCGGCGCTCATCCTTCGGCTTCTTATCGACATGTCGACGACCCTTCGACTCGTGGCCAATACGGTTGATGTCCGTCATCTTAACATCTCCGTCGGGGTCCTCCGGTTCCTCCTTGGGTCGTTGCCTTGGTAGCTGTTGAGGCGTCCGCTCAGTCGACGTCGGCTGCCTACCGGGTTTCAGTCTCTCAATCTGCCCGCAATTTCCTGAACTCTCGCAAGCCATCCCTGGTAGTCGTCGGGTAGGACGGCTGTGACCAAACTCTCTTGGAGGCGTGCATTTATTGCGTTCTCTAGAAATACGATCTTTGCACTGTCCGGCCAGTCTGCTCCCCGGCTTCAGCTAATGCCTGTTCGAATCGGGAAGGAAGGACGCGAGAGGTTGGTCTTCGCGCTGCCGCATAGTTCTCAGCGTGGCAGCAGCGCGGGATTGATGTTGCTGTCCTGGTAGGTTCGGTCGAGGTATCGCATGAACTCTTGGGGTCGTAGCTACCCCAGGGCCTCCGCGGCGTAAAGGTAGCGACCACTTGCTGTGGTCGCTCGTCCAAACATGAGTTGATGAGGTACCAAAGTTCGCGATTTCCACTGTAGTAGTGTGCATCAAGGTCCAGCTTGTCTCGCATCTGCCTGGCCCAGGCGGAGTAGCTCTTCCGTGAGCCGTCATACTTGGGTGGGTTGGGCAACGGTTTCCGCATTCCAGTACCGCAGGTTTTGGGAGGGCGTGCCCAAGCCAGTGCTCTCGCCCAATCCTCGTGCCACTGGCGGCGATTGCAAGTCGGCGCTCTGCGGCTGCGCTCGCCCGAGTTGCTCCATCAGCAAGGAAAGTTGGTCCTGTAGAGGGCTGAGAGTCGCATTGACCGCTTCTTGAATGCGTTGGTCAATCCATTGCTGCTGGAGACTTGGGCTCTCACTCTGCTGGTCCATCCTGACGAGCAGTCTGCAGCTTGCGGTATTTAGAAGGAGCTCTAGATATGTGAAAGGCTGGCCCGGAGTTTATTCAACAAGCAGGTGCCTAGGTGTTGTCTATCTAGAGCTAAGGAGGAAAGAAGCTGAACTCGAGGCGTAGCCTCGAGTGCGAGCTATATTACCCTTCTCGGAATGTTCTCGCAGCTTCTGGGTCCGCGGGCGGCCGGTGTTGCCACCGGCACGACACGACGGACCGGACCCGGTCCACAACGGGCACAGCCCGTGACAGCTCGAATTTCTACACATATGCCTACGATACAGGCGCATTCACCCAGGCAGCTTCTCCGGACAAAATCCCGAGAGCCGAAGGTGCAATGGTATGGATCCCGGCAGGCGATACCCATGGACTGCTTGTATACCTGGGGGGTATTGTCAGTCCATATGGTAATAGCACGACAGCTCCCCAGCCATTTGACAAGATCTTTGTGTTTGATGCGCAGGGCAACTCATGGTCGACTCAGACGGCAACGGGAGAGATACCACAAAATAGACGCCAATTTTGTGTCGACGTGGCCTGGGCACCCGATAAATCAAGCTTCAACATGTAAGTGCTAACGACTTCTCAATCGCACAAATCTCAGTACTAACCAACAAAAAAGCTACCTGTGGGGAGGCCTGAGTGTGCCGCCCCCGGTTGTAAACACAACCGCATTTAACGACATATACATCTTGACACTCCCCTCATTCATCTGGGTGAAGGCCTATCCTGATCACCATGGAAACGCCACAATGTTGCCACAATTTGGCCACTATAGCGCTTCCTGCAACATGGTTAAGTCGATGTCGCAACTCTTCGTCATTGGCGGCACCTACCCGGACAGTAATGACTGCGACGGGGCGGTCACCGCATGGGGGCAACACACTTTTTGGACGGGGACGAGCCAGAACGCCGGCGATAACCAGACGTATTACTGGGCATTACCCGACCCCAACGTCACCAGCAACGTCGTCCCAATTGACGTCTATAGCGTCGTCGGTGGGAATAAGTACGGTGGGGCGACGCTCAAGGAACCCAAGGCTGGATTTGACTCGGGCAATAAGCCCCTCCATGACCTGCTACAGCGCAGACCATCGATCCCGTCACGTACTCCGACCCGCCCCATCCCCGGCCCGACCGACTCGTCAACCCTGGTCCCAGCCCCTCCGGGACCGGCGCTCTCTACCGGCGCCATCGTTGGCATCGCCATTGGCGGGGCCGCGGGTCTAGCGCTCGTCATGTTTCTTTGGTTCCTCATCGGCAAGAGGGTTGTCCGCCGACGGGAGGAGAGGCGTCAATCAGAAATATCGCAGTTTTCGTTCAGTGGTGGTGGCAGCAAGGCCGGGTCGCCGAGCATGGTCAGCCCGCAAACCCCCATGGGACCCTGGGTTGCGGGGTCCGCTCCCGGACCGTCGTCGTCTCCCGAGCCCTGTACACAGCAGGGCGGCGGCTACCGTGTCGTCAGCGAGCTCCCCGCTCAGCATCAGCAGGACGTCAGCGAGCTACGGAGGTTGGGCACTAAAGTATTCAGACCAGCTTAGGTCACTCGGATTACATAACACCGTGCAAATTAGTTTTTTTCAAGTTTTCGCACTGCTTCTTTACTCTACGAAGTACAGCTTGAAAAGCTCTTTCCCTAGTAATTTGTATGGAGGGATACCCCTACAAGCGTACTTCAATGAATCCAAGTCAAATTTTCGAAAATGGTGCAAACACGTAAGAAGCTGCTTCTAACGCACGAGCCGGCCAATCATGATGCGGACGGGCGGCCAATACATGGGCGCCCGGGCGCCCAAATAAAATTGCGCGCCCGGGCGCGCCACTAAGAACCGCAGACTGTCATTGGCCCATGCAATAGCATTAGACAGCTGTAAAGCACAAATTATCTACAATTTGACTACAATGCACCGTTCTACCGAGCCGGCGGTCGAATGCAACGCTTGTTGCTTGAGCAGTACCAGCAGTCGTCAGATTTGATATAATTGCAGCATCTCTCTCGTTAAGCTGGCGATGCGCTGGGTGGACAGATGCATCTGAACTCGGTGGATGATTGTGCTGGGCGCATTCCTTCCTTATCTGGTCGATGGCGAAGGGCCCAAGTACTTCCATCCAATGACTGTTTGGCCAGTACTGAGAACTTGCATCCGGCTCTCCGACTACATGTGCGGCGTTTTCGTTCGATAAATGTACTCGGCGGCAGCTTATTTCGATCGCATGCGAACAAGATTTTGACGGGGTCTTCGTAGATTTCCCCGTCGTGAATGCATATCCTCGACGTTTCGCCCAAGAATTGATGGCGCTGAGTAGAGATTTGCGTGATACGTACGGGCCCTCCGGAGGGAGGGCATGATCGCCAAATGTCGTCGGTCCCGTTGAATTCATTCTCGTGGACTCGACGTGTTTTGTCGCGGTTTAGGGTGCATGCAGTTACAGAGCGCGTGAACAGAGGTCGATACGTCCAATGACAGTATACGTCCAATGACAGTCTGCGGTTCTTGAGTGGCGCGCCCGGGCGCCCATGTATTGGCCGCCCTTCTTTGGGGGTCCACAAAACCACTGTCCCCGACCCGCCCAACTGCCTGCCGACACCAATCTGACTCTTGGCACTAACCTGACTATTGCCGATGCCAATCAACGCTCAGCCTTCCGGCTCTGACCGGCGCGATTGACATTGGCCGATTCTACGATTCATCACCCTCTGTCTTCCAGTGTGGCTAACAAACCGACAGACCTAGACCGGCACCTCCGGGCGGTCGGTTTGGGTTGGGAAAGGCCCCCGGTCGGTCGGTTTAGGTCTGTCTGGGCTAGCAGCCCGGTCGGTCTAGGTCTGATGGTACATCCCGAGGTTCAGCATGAGTTGGTGAATGCAGTAGGTCGGTGACATGGGTTGCGTTCTCAAGCAGCACTACTACCGTATTTACACCAGACCTCTCAATAGCCACTGTTTTTGAAGTTGATCTGCCTCGACTGCCTCAGGCGCCAGGCGGTTGCGTTCGTCCGTAATCATCTTCTTCGCCTGACTGAACACCCTCTCGCACTCAGCACTCATGCCAGGAATTGAGAACAGATCTAGTGCCATCCTGTACAAGACCGGATATTCTAATTGATGTCTGTTCCACCATTCAAGGGGGTCTGCAACATCGAGATCGTGGGCGTAGATTGGCCGCGTCTGGAATATGTCCAGCTCGGTTACTACCTTGACCTTCTTTTGTTGTGTGTTCAATGAGCGGGTAGTCGTTGACCTCAGCTTCGATCTCAACATCGCCTTCCAGAAGTCCCGCTTGAGCCTGAGTTCCGACTTCGGCCTGTCGCGCGTATTCGTCGAATAGGCTACCCACAGCGGACTGCATGTCGCTATACCATTGCGGCCTATTCATCGCACCTTTCCAATGCCGCTCGAAGTAGTCGTACCCATACGATGGATGGAGTGCTAAGGCGGCTCGGTACACAGGAGTACGGTCTGTTTTGACATAGTAGTCCTCGAGCTTCCTCCACCCGCAGTCGATGCCCGACTTAAAATGGGAGGGCTCCTCGAATCGAGTTTCCTCCGCCGCCTGCTTGAACTTGACAAACAGATAGTCCATTGTCTTTAGGGTCTCCCACACCGCGCCGTGCCCACCCTCTGCGCCAGCATTGTTGGCGTTGCCCTCCATTGTCTTTGTAAGGACGTAAAACGGCTTCAGGAAGTTGTGGAAGCGCTCCAGTTCCGCCCAGTCCGCAGCGCCGAGGAAGTCTTTCGTCAGGTCACGATGGGCGGGATCATTCTTCGGCTTTTGCCAGCGAGATTGATACAGCTCAATGGCGCTGCGCAGCTCGAGCGCTGGATAGTCCGATATCGCGTCAGCAAAAGGACTAACTGGATCGACAGGGACAGACCGGCAAACCTCGGTTAATCATCATGTAAATGGAGTTCCAGCGTGTCTTGCCATCAACAACAATCTCCAATGTAAATATAGCATCGTCCCCTGCGAGCTCGGTCTGCAAGCGCCGGAGCGCTTGTCTTCGCTGGTCCGTCCGGCGGATGTAGGTAGCAAGGTTATGGAGTCTGCCGATGGCCCCTTTCTTGGCCCAAATATCGAAACTGAATTCATCCGTCGCCCCACGAAGCTCCGCCTCGAATCTGCTAACGTTTGAGCCGAAGATGACAGCCCGCACGACCAGGTTGATAATATGGCCTATGCAGCGCAGCCGACGTCGGCCAACGTCCATTGGGAACCATTGAGCAAGCGTTTGAAGGCAAGTATCGTTGCTGTCAGCGTTATCGAGCATGAAATATCCAAGCTTGGCGCCCATTTCGTATTTATCGATTACTTCTTTCACATGAGGCGCAATATTCTCACCGGAGTGTGGACCAACTAGGCGTGGCAGTCCAAGAAGGACATCACGCTTTCTGCCGTCCTTGTCAACAAAGTGGCCGACAATGCCGACATAGTGAAACCCGTTGGAAGCAGTCCAGAGGTCAAAGCTAAGGTGAATTGAGCTCCTCGCATCCTTGACAAGCTTGACAATTATGTGCCGCCGGGATTCAAAGGTTTGGCGGATCCATGAACACACTGTGGTGTGATGCTCCGGCAGTAGCTGGCTGGCCAGCTCCCCACCGTTCGCTATGAGCCACTGAAGCCGCTCGCTGGACGCCTGTCGAAAGGTGACGTCTTCGACTATGACCCAGTCAACAAAGCGAGCTTTCCATGCACCCTCGTCAAAATGAGCGGCAAGCTGCAGGCCTAGGCTAGCCTGCCGCGACAAAAGGTGGGATGACGAGGAGCTATCCGTCGCCGCCAACGTAAACGGGGTCGCCAAGCCGGGCCCAGTGTGCCCGGTCTCGGTGATGTGGTGCTGACGGAGCAGGTGCCTCGCGGCGTGAGACGTCCCTGATGAGACGTACAGAGCTGTCGAATAATTCTTCTTCAAGTGGCAGATCCTGCAAAGCCAGTAACGTACTCCACGATGCTCCAAGTTCGCGCCATGTCGGTATATCCACGATTCTTTGATCTTGGTGCCAATGACTCGCTTGTGCCGTGGCCTCTTTTTGACGCCCGCAAGTCGTTTGCCACCGTGCCAGATATTGCTCCAATCGATGTTAAATTCGGATGGTGACGCATCTGTTCCGGAAGTCGTAGTCTCGGGCGAGGTGTGCCTTCCTTCGAGATCGTCACCAAGCGGGGTGAGAGGTGGGTGGGACGGTGGAGACTGCGGCATGGGCAACGCAGGGCTCGTGGTCCGACTTGAAGACATGACAAAGCGGTTGTGACTTGACAAAGTTCTGGTGGCCTACATTGACGCGAAAAGTCGCGACAGAAGACGCGTCGTGGCACGCGGAAATGGTGAAATTACTACGGTATACGGACCAATGGCAGTCGTTGAAGCCCCAAACCCAGACCGCCTCAGACCACCAATCCGCCCGGCAGCTGCGGTCGGTCGGTTTGATGAAAATCCACGGTCGGTCGGTCTGCGGTCTGAAGGTGGTCTGTCAGACGGTCTGTCAGACGGTCGGTTTGTTAGCCACACTGCTGTCTTCAACCTTGCAACCCTCGAAGCGACCCAGCTGTCCGGCTTCAACCCGGGCGGTTACCAGCTTTTTGATGGATCACTGTCGATGTGGCATATTAATCTCAACACCAATCAACCATCCAGCCGCCCGACATCAACCTGGGCGATTACTTTTGTAAGATCACGGTCGACGTGATCTATTATTCTCGACACCAACAGACATCCCAATAATGAATAAATACATAATTTTGCTGTATTCTTATGTATTACTATGGCGAGCCTCATATTCTTACGTACTAGTTAAAAGGCCACCCCGTCACGCTAAACGGCCACCCAAAAGTGGGTCAACTGTGGCTTGGTCGCCGCGCAGCGCCGATGCCGCAAAGGTGTGTGCGCGCATTCGCTGCCGGCATCGAGGTGCGCGCCAGAGGGCATGTTGAAGCCGCAATTGAAGCCGCAAAGTGAAGCTGGCCGTGATGCAAATTCAAGTACGTAGGGCCATGTTCTTGGGGTCGTAGAAAACACACTTCCGTCAATTCAAATGCAGCGTTAACGCCGGTAGCTATAGTAGACCCTCTGCACACAATTCCTGCTGTACAGACTCCTCCTCATCCACCTGCCGGTCCATCTCGTTAAAATCGGCTAAAGGGTCGTCTTCATCCTCTATATCCTCACCTCCTTGACGAATTGAGGGTATCGGCATTGGCTGCGTGGCACAGCGAATCGTGCCCTGCGTCTCGCCCGGGCCAGTAAGCTCATCGTCAGAGTCAGGCGTGCGGCGTACGGCACGCTGATACGCTCGTGGCATCGCTGTGCCAGGCTCGTACGAATCGCCATTGGCTTGAAGGTATTCCAACCCCCGTTTGGTCACATCAGCAGCGCTGCCGGCGGTGTTGACGGTAGCAGCAGCAGCTTTCCCTCCAGCCTTGCCCCAGCCTTGCGCTTCTTACCCGTAGCCTTCGTCTTCGTACTTTGGAGAGCCGCCGGCGCTGTGGACGGCGGCGGCCTTGTGCCTCGCTGCGTTCGTCGGATTCCGCGATATCGTGTGCTG